CAATGAATAAACATGCCTAGGCTCAAAGGGGCTTAATCTAACAATAAACATCAGGGTGGTTATTTGACTATCTAGCTTTTAGAAAGAACTGTCTCTATCATTTCAACAATTGTATATCACAGACCATTTCAAAGAGAAACAAAACAAGTTCTAGAGTGATTCAAACAACAAAGTTCACACCAAAAATAATAATTTCTGTTTAGGCTCTAAAGCTTACGGCTAAAGGTGTGAGACTTATTTTTCACTCTCTATTTGATCACTTTAGTTATTCTTCTCTTATTCCAGTGAACTATGAAGCATGCTTGACTAACGCTCATTTATGTATGAAAATAAGTTTACATCATCATACTCTTAATCTCAACTATCAAACAGTTTCATGTAATCATTCACTGTGCATACACATCAAGCATAATGGAAAATTCAAAAAAATTCACCATTTTAAAATTTCACTAATATTTAGTGATTAAGGATGGATGGGGTCTTAAAACTACTTTGAAAACTTTAAATTTTAAAGTAAACTAATATACTATACTTGAAAACTTAAAAGCAAACTTATACTTAATAGTTTCTAAAATAAACTAATACGAAATACTTATAGAAAAAAAAAAGGATAATATGAAATAATAATATTGAGAAACTCCCCTGAATCACTGCATTTGTAATTTGGATATTTCTGTGTAATCGGTGTAATCATGAGTTTCTCCTTCCGACCATGTGAAGTTTGTGGTCTGATGAATTGTATGGTACCCATTCCCAAATTTAAATCTTGTTGTCCTCAGCAATAAATTTAAATCTAAAAGAATCCTTAGCAAGAAATCAGAAAAAATTGATACTGTACTTTGCACACATGTCACAGATAAAGAAACTACGTCAGCATGTCATATATCCAAAAATATATCATAGTCAGGATAAGTCTCAATATACATCCCATGAACTAAACTAACAGCAAAAACATCAAAATAAAACTGAACAAAATATAAAAGTCTACAAATTGATATGAGGAATCAATCCTCCTCCACATCAGTAGTGGGTGTATCATCGTCCTCTGCTGCATCCTAATCATCTCCAACTGTGGCATCAGCAGCATCAACATCATCAGTATATATGTCAGTAGCATCATGTTTGCAAAGTCAGTGCAATTTCCACAAAACAATTCCCAGATTTATATTCAGATGCAATCTGAAAATAATAATGAGTATATGGAACTGAAATACTTTAACAGCATGCATAATGTCAATGATGAGTGCGCTTAAGCGCAGTAATGCATGCTTAAGCGCGCTGAGGTAGTGAGGAATGGAATAAATTTTATTTAGCGCGCTTAAGCCCCGTCCTGGGCGCTTAAGCGTGTTCTGCGAATGGAACTTTTTAGTTGTGGAGCGCGCTTAAGCTTCCTGAATCAAGCTTAAGCGCGGAGAGGCAGTGACAAATGCCCAAACAAATTCAATCCTGAATTTTTTTTTTTCCAAGGTATTATTATGACAATTTTTGACACAAAACGAAAATTAATCAGAATTGCATACCTGTGTGCTTTATTCCCATATATACCTGAAAATCCATCTCAGAAAAGTTGATCATCAGCCTCAATGTTTTTGTTTTTATTTTTTATGTAACCTAAGACTTAAATAAACTAAACTAGAATTAAAATTGAAAACTAAACTAAATTAACTAAAATACTTAAACTTAAAATACTGAAAGCTAAAATATTGAAAAGCAAAAAAAAAAAAAAAACTATTGGGTTGCCTCCCACAAGCGCTTGTTTTACGTCACGAGCTTAACGTACCTGATTTACTTTCATGGTGGCTCAAAGCATGAGCTTAGTGATGACCAAGCTCCATCATTCAGAAATGGTGTCCTCCCATTGTAATTTTGTGCATATGAGTGAGATGCAGTAGGCTCAATAGCATTGAATTTGGTGTTTACGTGCTTTCCCTTGCTCCTGAGCTTCTCCATTTTAACCTTTGGCTTACTTTCTTGAGAAGAATTCTCTTTGTGCTCTTCTTCTCTTTTCTTCTCACTAATATAGTAGACTTGATCTTCTGTTTGAGTTATAGGTGAATGGACTTCTTTATCAAAGAACTTGAAAATTTCCTACTCCCCGTCTACCCGTAAGATCAACTCGCTTTTCGATACATCAATCAACGCTCCTGAGGTTGCCAAGAAAGGTCTTCCGAAGATCATAGGAACAGTAGCATTTTCCTGTATATCAAGGATGACAAAATCAACAGGAATGATGAATTTGTCAACCTTTACCAGTATGTCCTCAATGATGCCATAAGCTTGCTTTGTAGAGCGGTCAGCCAATTACACTATTGTCTTGGTTGGCCTTACTTCAGTGATCCCTAGTTTCTTCATCATAAATAGTGGCATCACGTTGATGCTGGCACCTGGCACCGAGATCACATAGAACATTTTTCACTTCCACATTGCCTATGTTCCATGGAATGCTGAATCTTCCTGGATCTTTAAGCTTTGAAGGCAGCTTTTTCTGGATAATGGCACTGCATTCCTCTGTCAGAGTCACCGTCTCACATTCCTGTAGCTTACGCTTTCTTGATAGAAGATCTTTCATGAACTTTGCGTAATTGGGCATGTTCTCTAAGGCTTCAGTAAACGGGATATTGATTTGCAGCATCTTGAAAATGTCAAGGAACTTGGAATACTGTTGCTTTTTAATTTCTTCTCTGTACCTTTGTGGATATGCAGTAGCGGACCCAGGAAATTATACGACGGGGGGAAAAAATTTATATTACTATTATGAAAAGGCAATACGAAAATTTATATTACTATTATGAAAAGGCAATGCCAGTTTTGGTTGGATGATTGCACTAAGAATACAAAAATACCTATTAAGAAGAACCTAATAAAATTACAGAATTTTTTGCCAATTTTTTGGTTGGAATGTCAATTTTTTGCTTCAGGTGACAGTGGTTCAATGAACCCTCTATTTCAATGAGAAACTAGCCTTACGACCCTACATTTTGTTTGTAAGATCAAATTTTTATTGTTTGCCTTCATGTCTTCTGGTGTTATAATTGCACTTTCGTTGATTTCTTTAGAATCTTATTTTCTCACTTAGATGTTATTTAACAGAAGACACAGTAAATTAATTAATGTGTTATTTAATTTAAGCATTTGGTCCCCAACTAATAATTGATAACTATTACTGACCTTTTTTCTTTGTCAACAAAGTCAAAACTTAAATACTCTTCTCATGAGTTTTGATACGACAATCTGTACAAATTTTTAATGATTATAAAAAAAGTTAGATAATCAATCAATATAAAATCACATTCTAGACAAATTTGACAGGGAGAGTGAATATGCATTACTAACTGAACTCTTCTTTGTATACAACGGAAAAGCCAGTTTTTCATGTTGATTGGGGAGGGTAGCAGACCAAGAACAAAACTTGTCATATATGCTGGCAGGTTGAATCTGGTAAATTATTATTATCTCTAATTGAGTGCAATGAACATGTAGAACATTTTTCTTATGAATAGCATCGCTTGCCTTTCAGTTTTTAAAAACACTTCCAAAATTTTGCTTTTTAAACCATGTTGTATATCATATAGTAGAACATATTTTCATATTTTAGAGGGGGGCGGGGGCCTACCCTAGCCCCCCATGTAGGTCCGCCCCTGTGGATATGGAATCTTATAAGATGAGAGCTCCAATGGCTTTTCTTGCCTTTCTTGAGCTTTCTTTTTCTCCTATTTGAACGCTTTCTTGTGTTAATGTCATCCATGATATTTTACAATATCCCGTATGAAAGTATTCTACAATTCAACCCACCATTAGTGTGATGATTATAGATGCATCTTCTTCTCGGTAGCCCGGAACAGAAGAACTCCATAGTTAAGCGTATTTGACTTGGAGCAATTCTGGGATGGGTGACCTCCTGGAAAGTTTTCTCGGGAAGTGTGCGAGTGAGGAAAAAACACACTGAAAAGTCTCGTGTTAGTATGTGGGGATAGTCGTTGATTCTTAAAGCGACCGAGCGTTACAAGTGCTCTTAACTAATAAAAGTTACAAATTACAAAATTACAATTTTTTTCATTTTGTAAATATATAATTCTAAACAAAGATAGTACGAAGTGAATTCTGGAAAATTTTCATAATGTTTGATAAATAGTGTACTCATTATGATGAATGCGGTTTAGAGGACACCAAAGGCAAATTAAGTAAAAACTAAAAACTCATATTTGTGCACTAAATAATTAATTGCCAGTTACTTAATATTAGATGAAAAAACTTTTAAATAATGGTTATATTTTATTGGATAAAATAAAATATGTGGATAGACGTAGGCGCAATCAGAGAAACATGAAGGGTAACATGTTAAACGCTACCGCATATTTTACGTAATAAATGTCACAAGTGAATGAGTTTAGTCAGGTCAGATTTATTGTACTAAAAAAAATAAATCAGATTTGTATAAAATATTTTAAGTCTGACCTGTTAACTTGATATAAATCAAACTATAAATTTAATCTGACTTATATTTTAAAAATAAAAAATCTGATCTAGGCTTGTTAGTCTGTTTAAACTTATTAGGTATTCAAGAATTAAAAAAACAATTAAGATACTATTACTTTATTATTTAATATTATTTAAATTATAATTTTATTTATTTAAAATAAATAATATAATATAATATAATATAATAATCAGTAGGCTTTTTTAAATACTTACACATATTCTATTTTACTTAAAATATAATAGATCAAACTTGATGTAAGCTGCGCCTACAGCCCTTATAGGCTGCCTGAATGAATTCGTTTGTATTGGATAAACGATGACATAAATTCGTTTGCATAGGATAAATTTTGTATCAGTTTGTTACCTTATGTTATTAGTAGTTAGTATTATAGAATTTATCTGTTATGATATAGTCGTTATTTGTTAGCTTGACTTTATCTCATGAAACTGTATGTACATACTAACGTCTATATAAGACGGGTACAAGTACAAGTACACAACAATCTGAACAACATCGGAGATTGGTAGGGACTCTTAATATATCGATCCATCCTTCAGCCATACCAGTCTATAATGCATCAGACTATAATGTAGTAGTTTGTCACAAAATTATAAATAAAAGATGAGTAGAATAAATGATATCTATTCTATATCTCCACCAATAAAAAGAAAAAGAAAAAGAAAATTGTGAAAATTAAGGAAAGAAACCAGTATAGTTTCACAGAGAAGCAATTGCTTAACCATTGACAAGTGGTTCGCAGATTTCAAGCAATTCATTTTTGAGACCGGTGAAAACAACAGAATCTGTTTCCAGGGGCTTGAACTTAATTAGAGCACAAGGTACGAGGTCTTCTTCCTCTATTGTTTTAGTATTTCCCCCTGCTTTTGCAAAATGAGGGATCACCCGCCGTTGGATAACCACAGGATGCATTAGCTCAAATTCCAAACCTGGTTCTTTTAATGCCGAGCTCACAAACTGCTTTATCAACATGTAAAACAAGAACACTGCTGAGTTTACAATCACATTTGGGGTATGAACAACATACTAATGCTCAAATCCACTCAGAACATACAGTGCTGACTTTACGTGACAATATATATATATAAACAAATAGGTCCGGTTATCCAATCAGGGACTTTTGTGTGAATTGCAATTGTAATTGTAAATTGTTAATTGGGGGACTTTGATATTGCAAGGAATAATTTCCATGGTTTAATAAAGTTCTAGTCTTTAAAACAAAGCACAGCTTCAAAGTAGATTGCTGGTGTTTCTCGACATATGCATTATCATATGGGTTACTTGATGCCAGTGAGACTTATCATTGCCAGAACCCATTGTTAAATGTAATCAAGTTTACACATGGCACTTGCAAAACCTGCTTTATCGATCTAATGTAAAGTTTCATGTCGAGCAGCTAAGTGACATCTAGATTCAGAACCATTTAGAACCAAACGTCATGCTAACTTGTTCCAGTTATCATCAGATGGACGGACAAACAAAAATCTTTTGTCCGAAAACATGAGAAAAATAGAACATAAAATCAAGTAGCAAAGGACAAACCTCATAGAGAGCAGTAGTTGGTTCCCATGGAGAAAATACACCTTGAAGTACAACTCCATCTGGAAACTGAATCCTAATGATAGTTTTTGTGTATCTCTTCCTGGCAGCTTTAGCTTGCTTTTCTTTAAGTGACTTTGGGATTAAAAGCTGAGACTCCTCAATCTTTTTTCTCCTTAATTCAGCTTCTCTTCTCACCTCTTCGACTGAAAGTTTATAGAAGGAATCTGGTAGCTCAATTTTAGCTGCAACGCTTTCAGGGACAGCAAAGAAGACCTTCACCTATAAGAGCCATTTTATAACGGAAAAAAAAAAAATAGACATATTCAATCTGAAGAATTAGTACGTTACTTATTTTTGAAAAGTAATAAAGTGACAAACTAATAAGAAAGCAATTACACACATAATTTGAGCTCTGCAGAATAATAACTAAACTATCAAATTGAAAAACTAAAACCATAAGGAGTTTTCACCAAAGAAACGAAAAATACTGGAGACTAGACTTATATCTCACACAATCACAGTTAAAAATTGTTTCTGCAGCTGATTCATACCATGTGAAAGTGGGTAGTTATTAGTAACCCACTATTGAGATTGTGGTAGGGCCCATTAAGACCACTAACATGTGGGTCCTACACAGATTCCAGTTTATTCGTCCGGGTTCTGGGGTGAATGAGTGTACCTTATGTTCTACTGTACTCGGATACGGGCTCTATTTGGGTTTACCTAAGTCCAGGTGACTAACCCGGAACACCAACAATTAACAAAGTATACTCTTGTTTAAATTTAGGCTTCTATCTCTCTGTTTTTCCCTTTAAAGTAAATGAAATAAGAACAACAACGAAGACAAAAAATTAATGATTTTCAAGTTATCGGGTTGTGGCATGAAAATGATGGCCAGACAATCTAAAAATTATATTATCATGGAATTATAATGCTCCGAATGGATAATTCAAGAATTAGAGAAGTTATGAGGCTTCATTAATGACATTTTGGATCTTACTTTTGTATGCCTGCAGACATTCAGAACCTTCCTTATTAAATTAAAAGCAAAATACAAATAGTAGTGGCAACCAGTTTGAACTTTAACAACCTGGATCTATGCACAGATAATTTTAACCTTACATGCATTAAAACTAATGTCTTCATTTGTGAAGAACAATAAAGATATAAACTCAAAAACAAATATTTGAATTTTATGCATGATTATTTTTTGAATTATTATATTAGGAATTAGGATGAGGTTTTCTTTGGGTGTTTATACTTGGGAACCACCATAATAGCTAGCTGAACTTAGTAGTTTTGCTTAAACAATTGATGTTTCTGAAACTCCAATAGAAATTCTTAAGAGGAATCTGGATTATTGTTCTCTGCTTTCAGCTTCTTCTATTAATCTCAAGTAACACCCAAATTTAAATCAGCATAAGCCAGCCCTAGTTATCACTGCCCAAAAGGCCCTGCAATTTACTTTGCCGCTTGCTTTTACACCCATAAACAAAAGCAAAGATATAAGAATAACAAAGATATCTTAAAGCTTCTCACCTAATGTATTAAAATTACAGTTTGACACCAAACCAATTGTGTTGATTAGCTAATGACATTTCTACGCTTCGTACCATCAACAGTTTAGTTAGTTCTTCAAAAGTAAATTTTCAAGCCAGAATATGAATTCAAAATACACATAAGCTTCCTATTAAGAGCAAAATGCACAGTGAATATACTTCAAATGCATTCAAGACACACTCTTAAAAGCAAATTAAGAATGAGATCAAGACTACTACCTGTCTGTCGACCTGCTTTGGTTTATCCTTTGAATCTATATCAGCAGAAGTTGTGGACGCCAAATTCTCTCTCTTTGGAGGTTCTTGTACAAGTTGTGTTTCCAGCAACACAATTGCTTTCTTAATCAGTTTAATTTGCTCCTCTGTAGGAACCTCCATCACTGCCCATGTCTCTTCATTCTCCTCCTTAAGTTCAAAGCCAAGAAAGCTCAGCAACTCAACTCCCCCTATAACCTCACCAACAGCCTCTTTTATCTTTGGGTTACTCATCCTGATCTTCCTAAACTTGACATTCTCCGGTTCCCTAACAATATTCCTCAACAATTTGAAAACAACATCAACTGATCCCTCAGATGGCTTACCAGAAATGTAAGTACCAAGACAAACCTCCAATTCACTATTTGACTCAACTTCATTCTCTGGCAATTCTGAGACAGCATTTCCATCATCACGCTCAACTTGGTTACTCAAACAACCATCCACGTGTACAGACACCTCTTCTTCGGATCTAAAAGGTTGTTTACAAATGGGGCATTCAAACACATTCAGTGAATACCCATTTTGAGATCTCTTGGCTGAGGTGACCAAAGAATCAAAAGGGTCAAACCCATCATCTCTCGGTTTGTGAGCCCTCTCGGTCGTTTTCTGAGGTAAGGGAGTGGAACTCGTTGCAGCTGAAGTGGGTTTCGAAATAGGATTGGGGCGAAGGGTAGGAATGGAATTGCTTGGTGAAGATGAAGAAGATCCCAAGACTCTACCTTGGCCCTTGAATTTTCCAGAGGATGATGATGAGAAAGGGTTGTTGACTTTCTTCATGAACCCTTTCATCTTGTCTTTCACGTCGTCCATTTCCTTCCACAACCTCAATACCAAAATTCTAACAAAAGAAAAAAAATAGATCAGAATGGAGGGATTAATAGATAAAATGATTGTGGGTTGAAATCATATAAATTGATCAATTTTGTGGATATTGAATAGAAAGGCCACAAGATGTTAAAATCAAAAATAAATCTTTGATTTTAGGGCGTAGGTTGCAAGGAAAAAGCGAACAAAGGAGGAAGTAGGATAATAATATCATAAAAAAAAAAAAAAAAAAAACCTCGGAAGCTTAGAAGAAAAGAAATTAAGGAAAGAATGTCAGAAGCAGGGGGGTGGACTTCAAGCTATTGACGGGAGAGACATGTCCAATAAGGTCATGCCACCTCATCAAACCTCAATTTCTTACAAAGCCGGTCGTTTTTATCTTCTAGCGTTTTTTTTTACATAAGTGATCATCTTATATTGAAAAAGATGTGATATTATAAAGGTGAATCATGATGATAAAAGAGTAGAGAAAAAAGTATTAAAATAAATAATTATTAAATTATAATTTTTAATTTATATTTATATAATTATGATTGTCCCGTATAGTCATATTATATTTTTTTTAACATGCCTTGCGATTCGAGCCAACTCCAATGTTAAGCAAATTATTCTTACATGATTATGAAAATTATTATGACATTCTTACTTAACTACATTTAAAGTAAGTTATTTAATATTTATTAATTATTAATTTTCTAATAAATGTTTAATTTTTTTATTAAATATGACGAACATTAAATAAATATTCGACAATTCATCCTAAATACTAATACTTATGGACTGGAAAAATTTGCTCAGATAATACCATTTACCAGCATACTTCTCACTGCGTGAAATTTCCCTCTCTCTTTATACAGGTTTCTCTCTACTTTTTTTTTTCTTAATAGATTTATTATTTTTCATTTCCGCTAATCATTTTATTTGAATGAATTTCAATTTTTAGGCATAAAAATGGAATCTTTACTGCAGGGTTCCTGCAGAAAGAATTATTTTTCACACAGTTATAAAATTCTGCCTGGATATTAACTCGGTCATAGTATTGTTACTAGGTCACTAATTCAATCGTTTGAACTGATTTGATATGTATATATTTATAATCTATACAAAAATTCTAAAAAATAAATATAATATAATTTAATAATTCATATTATATTCATTCATTATTTATTTGTTTTATTAAATCTTTTAAATAAATTAAATAATTATAAATAATATATATGTATAAACTTTCAACAAAATGAGCTTATAATATATAAACTTTGAGCCGACATCAGCCAAATTTAATATGTATTGGACTTAACTACCAAAATAAAAAGTGTACTAGACTTGGGATGATAATAAAAGCCCAATTGAAAGTATAAAATTTTAAAAATAATTTTAAATTCAAAACTAAAAAAAGATATTAATAAAAGGGCTAATATGCTCTCATGTGACACGATTTTTTGTAGCATAGACAGCAATAGAAGATATTGTTTGTGCAAGAGAAGGAGAGTGATTTTCTGTTGCATGACGAAATATAAACCCTTATAAAATTATATGCTTATCAAGTTTGTCTCAAGCCTCTTATACATCTAAATGTAATTCCAGAGATAAAAGGATAGCATACTGAGTATTGAGAGTCTCGAGAAAGTCATTTTCAAAAAAGCCTAAAAGGGACGTTTGGTATTGAATAATTTTTTTTTACCAGGTAAGCATAATTACTGGAAATATTGTATGAAATTCGGTTTGATGAAAAAAATAAAAAAAAGTTGTTTGATAGGCTGAAATATTATTGAAAAAATTGATTTAAGTTTTGAAAGTCTTTGTTTTTTTTGGAAATATTCCATCGGTGTTTTTTTGGAAATATTTCATCGGTTCATTGCTTCGCGATTAGTCTGATTCGGGACGGGTCCAGGATTAAGGCTTTAAACCCCTCCCAAAGATGGTACTGGGGAAATTCGAACATATGCCCTCACCCCCACCTGCTCAGCTCTCATGCGCCAACTAAGCTACCACCATTTGGTTGAAAGTCTTTGTTTGGTTAAAATAAAATAGTGATAGAAAAATTGGTGTAAATTACAAAAATGGGCATTTAAAATTTTTAACACGAAACACGAACCGGCAAATAACAATGAATAATATTAAAAAATCATCATTTTCATTCACAGTGAATTTGTGTCTTTCAATACCTGAACTACCATCTACCCCAAAAGCCAAAATCAACATTTTCATTCCCCTTCTTCTTGGCCTCTTCTTTTGAAGCTTCTCCCCGTCATGCACACAACTTCTGTTGGTGTATAAATCATCGTGTCATGTGCAATATCTTTCAGGATACCAACAACGGGTTTGTAGGTTAGCTTCATGTATTCCTTAATGGGTATAAGCTTGATTTCAGCATCAACAATAAGCCCAAGAGTTCCCTGAGACCATGGAATAACATGAAATAGATCAAATTACTCACTGTCTTTGGTCGCTTTAACAAGAGTGCCATCTGCCGAAACAACCTCATAGGCCACAACAGTATCAGAGAATAGGCCAAATTTGTGGGAGCTTCCTTCAATCCCATAGCCATTAATCAAGCCACCGACAGTAAGATCATCCAGCTCTGCCACCAGAGCAAGGGTCATTTTCGTCCACAGCTTCAAGCACATTATTTGGTTGCCTGGGTAAACAGAAAATACCACAATGTGTGCGGTTTTTTGGAACAATAATAAACATCAAATTTTGCAAAGAAATCGCAAAAGCTAGGGAAGCAATTTGCCCACCTAAATCTTTTTCACTCCTGTACCAAACGTGGTCAAGCACAAAACCCAAAAGAAGTTGCCTGGAAATCTCTACTAAAAACCTCTACCAAACACCCCTTAAGATAGTGTTTGGTATGCAGATTATTTATAAATGCCCTGGAAAGTATGGTAGAGAAAACAGGAAAACCATGTTTGGTTGTCCAAAATGTAAAAAGTTTCCCGTCAATTTTTTTTCTGGATTTTTTTATTATGTGCAAAGTGAAGTACGGACACTATCATTGAAATTTCGTAGTTTATTTGAAAAAATAGCTTCCCCGGGAAAGTAAGAAATAAAGAACAATTAGGTAGACGAGATTAACCCTGATCGGTGAAGTTGTGTTCATGGTTTATCTGGTACCAAAACTTACCTTAGTTGCTCCCTCCGTTGCAGGTTACCTTGGTTTTCGATTTTGTTGCTTATCATCGTTGAACAAGCAGTATTGCAAGCCAATCCTCAGCTACTAGTTACAGGTTACCTGGTTTTCGATTTTCTTTCTTGCTTATCATCGCTGAACTAGTTGCTATTCAGATGACCTCCCAGCCATAACCAGGGCAGCGATAGTATTTATTTCCAAGCTATATATCTTGAATTTTTGGAGCTTCCGGTGAATATTGAAGCAAACGTCCATTAAAAATTGAGTGTATCGTTGTAAAATAACTCCATATTTCCACTAATATTTTACAAACAACCAAACACATGCTCATGCTCAGTAGAATTAACCAAATATTCCAAGGGAAACATGGACCTACCAAACAACTTTTTAGTAACATTTCAGCCAAAATTATCCTCTACCAAACGCTCCCTGAAGCTAGACATAAAATACCATTTCCCACTAACTTTTTATTTGATGAATAATTTCCCGAGTAACTTTTGAACTACAGATGGATGCTTCGAATGCAATCCATCTACCATGACTGCAGTTTACTTGCAAGGACTCAAAAAGGGCGACGAGAGAAGCTTTGTCTCTTCCTCAAACCGTGGATTGCTTTTCTGCCACTGTCTCTTCATTTTCTCACTATTTTACTCCTCTTTATTTCACACCCTTCTTTTCTCTTTTTTCATTTTATCTCTTCTTTATCTAACTCTTCTTTTCAATGTAGTATTTTTTTGGGTAATGTTTTCCTACTTTTACATGACACAAGCAATTTTTCTACACAACTACAAAAGTGGACCCATCAATTCTTTTACCTCTCTATTTATTTTAAAATAGTGGACCCCACAATTGATTGTCTCTATAACATGACCTAAGAATTTTTCTACAACATAATATTTGTTTTTCCCATTTTTTTCTCCTTCTTTGTTTTTTAGAGCTTTTTGTTCAGGTTTATAGAAAAAGTAACTTTTATCTCTTCCTTATTTTAAAAGTGTTTTTACAAAAATAAAGTTATTTATATTTTTATAGAAATAATTAGTTTTTGAGACAAAAAAATATTTAGTTTTTGGATTTTTGGCTTTGATTGTGACTTCTGTTTTTTTTATTTTAAAAAGTAGGTATCCAAACGAACTTAAAGTGAAAAATATTTCCCCACCTAAAAAAGCTGCTTTTGGAGAGGAAAATCCATCTAAGCGGGCCCTTAGTAGCTGGGCAAAAGTCCCAGAATAAACCAAGAAAAAAAAGCAAAACATCGTAACGATTCAACTCGGTGAACCAACGGGTCACCAGTTTATTTACATGTCCGATCTTTTAGGTTATCCGGACTGATCACATGACCTATTTCCAGGTTAAACATACCGGTCTAGTCCAAATTTTATAACACTAATTTTTCAATTTGAAGCATTGAGCTATCTATTCATAGTTATATTGAGTCCTTACTTCTTAGGTTTGGTGGTCATAGAGATGCTTCTTAATCGTCGAACATAAGAGGAATATATATATATATATATATATATATGAGAATATTATATTTACTATCTATTTTTCTTGCTGCTTATTACTACCAAATCTTAACTGTTAATTTCCGTCAATCTAACGGTTGTAATGGATAGGGTCAAATTTAATAATTAATTAATATTTTGGAATAAATTACAACCGTTAGATTGACGGGAATCAACAGTTAAGATTTGATAGTAACAGGTAATAAGAAAAATAGGTAGTAAGTATAACATTTCTCATATATATATATATATATATATATAGGGGAGGGATCATTTGACTCCAAAGTAAGATTTAAAAATCTTACTCCTCATCTTAACCCTTGATTTCCGTTCATCCAACGGTTAACATTTAATAAGTTACAACAATTAATTAATTATTAATTTTAAATAAATGCTAACCGTTGGATGAACGGAAATCAAGGGTTAGGATGAGGAGTAAGATTTTTAAATCTTACTCTGGAGTCAAATGATCCCTCCCCATATATATATATATATATATAAGGGCAAGATTCTTTGGCATCGTTATCAAACTAAAAAGTTTAACACTAGATTCTAATCGTTGATTTTTGTCAATCTGACGGTTATAATTCATTAGGTCAAACTTATTAATTAATTAGTAAGTCCCAGTGAATTATAACTGTCCATTGGTGAAAATCAACAGTTAGGATCTATTATAAAATTTCTAAATTTGATACCAGTGTCAATAAATCCTATCACATATATATAGGAGATATTCTTACTATCAAATTTTTTTACTACCAACTTATTACCTATCTAATCACCATTCGATTAGCATTTTCTCTCTTTTTAGAAATTTTTTCACATTATCTCTCTATGATCCAATGGTGATTAGATAAGTAATAAGTTGATAGTGAAATTTTTTAATAATAAGAATATTTCCCCTCATATATATATATATATGAATTTTTTTTTGCAATAATCAATTTTAACTAGTACTTCGAATAATATATAATTATAATGATAAAATTATTATTTTTTCTGCCAGGTCGGTTGACAATGTCTAAAGAGAAAAAAAAATTTATTATTATAATTATATATTATCCGTAATATATAATTGTAATATATTGTTGTAAGAAATTTTCTTTGCAACAATAGAAAAATCGCACCCATAAAATAATCACTTAAAATAAAAAATAGTAGTGAATAGCCGTGTAGTTTTGGGACACCTCAGGTGCTGCAGCTGCACACAGCTCGATCACGTCTAGTTAAAGAAAGAAAAAATATTTAGACTAATTAATTAAGGAAAAATATTTTCTCATGTTCATGAAAATTCAATTCTTATGTTAGTGACTTTTCGATTTGCGTACAAAACTTTTTTATTTTTAATAAATATGAAGCTCACTACTAGTTGAGTCACAACATAAAAATTAAATTCTCATGCAACATGAGAAAATCAAATCCCATTAACTAAATTTATGTTTGTCAAAACAATAGTTTGAATAAATTCGAATTTGTTCAAACCGAATCATGGTCATGTATAATTTTTAAAAAAATTATCAAAAAAAATCAAAATACAATTTAAAAAATCAGAAAAAAGAATGAAATCAAACTGATTTTTTTTTTTTTATCTTTTTTTATAGGGTAGGGGTCATCAGGTTACGAATTTACCCAAACTACTAATCACCTTTTTAGTTTCAAGGGATGCATTATAAGTACATTATTAATTGTGCGAGTAACCATATAAAGTGGATTTAGGACAAAAAATAAATCATTCAATATGTTATTTTAATTAACCTACTTAAAATTCGATTTATATATATCAAACTCACAAAAGTAAGTCTTGTATTCTAATTTAACGCATAAAGTCAAAGATATACATTGTCGATTCCAATCACACTTTACGTTGATTAATTTTTAGTTAGATTAAAGAGAATTTAGTTGGAGTTGGAATTTGTCACCACGTAGACACTGGTTATCACTATTCATACAGGAAGCGGCTGATTAACCATTATGGTTTAAAAATAAAAATAAAAATAAAAATTAGCATTCTGGGACAGTTTGTATACATAGCATGCCATAGGGAGAAGATGCTATTCAACATGTTACTTCCACGTTAAAAGGCACCACTGCTTAACACCCCTTGGTAAAAGACGGTGCGTCTTATAATGTTACTATCCAACTCCCGAGTATTGTGAGACTCTTTCAAGTGCCCTATGTTACTGTCAATTTTGATATTTGATTAAATTATGGATAATATTGTTCAAGGAATTATGTATTAAGTGCCCTATGTTACATCAGGCCTATTATGTATCAAGTGTTTTACACCAGGAAGACAAACCAGAAATTAGGGCAAGATATTCAGAGGAGAATAATGCATACAAGGAAGAAAGTAATAGGATGGAGCCCAGCCAAGGCAGATTGCTTAGCATCACAAAAAACTGGACAAAGCACTTGACTATAACAAGGTTCTGCTTGTTACCTCACCTTCATGCATTGAATAGATCCAAGTAAGTTGGTAAACAAAGAAAACAGGCAGGCAACAGAACGAGGCACCATATAATGAGACCAAGACAAACAAGACTGTGATCCAAAGATTTGCTGAAAGACAAGTCTTTTACATTATGAACAGTAGCGTATTTGATAAAGATTCCAGCAACCTTCTAAAGTGTGAATCAAGAATTAAGAGCAAGTTAAAAGCAAAAACAAGTACTTGGACGAAAACACCACAGAAGATTCTTTGGTTTGGCAGACAAAAACGAGCTATACTGAAAAGGGGCTATAATTCATTACCCTTACTATCACTAAAATTTCTACCAAATAGAACGTAACAATTTGAACCTTCCAAGCAGAATTTGAACCATGAATAGAACTTGTTGCATCAATATCAACACAGCCTCTTTCCCAACTAAATCATCATAACCATTACTTTTATCTCAAAACTAATTGGGACGGCAAATAGAATTTGTCGCTCCATAACAATCACCTTTATCTCAAAATTAGTTAGGGTCGGCAATGGAATGTCTTATGATAATCCGATATTCAGCTAACTAATCACTGCCAGCAAAAGTAGACAAAGCCAAACACGAGAACGGGGTTTCGAGTCTGTTAAGTTTGGCGTCTACATTCAGAATTAGATAAACAGTAAGTTAAGAAAAAAGTTACTTCCATTAAGCTCCACTTTATCTAGTGATCTATTCTTTATGGCCAAGGGAGGTTCCACTATGCAACCCTAGAGATCCCTCTCATTAATTTTGAAGTCCTCGGCACTTAAAAAGAGAGAGAATCTGATAGAAAAATGATGGGAAGATGCTTGAAGACCTTATAAATAACTGCATCATCATCTAGCTTTATGTTCATGTGTTTCTGAAAATAATTGTTTATTTTGGAGATATTCCAATCGGTTCATAGCTTCGCGACAAATCTGATACGAGACGAGTCCCGGAATTAAGGCATTAAACCCCTTACAAAGATGATACACCGGAGGATCAAAGCTGAAAATAATTTTGATTCAACAAATAAGACTTGGAAATTTGACAATTCTCTTAACATCATGTCACGTTTCAACAGATATGACGTAAGATGAGCATCATGTCACGGGAGCATCTTGTAATCAGTACGTGGGCATTCATATGACTATTAATGGCAATAACAAACTAAAATTCCTCAAACACACAAGCAAATGTGCAAGACCCAAAAAAAAAGAAAAAGGAAATGACACGGTCACGGGGCAACATCTACAACTTGTTAAGCAAGCTTTACATAGTTATCAGTTAACTGTAATGCAAATCGTGCTTTTCCTATGATATAAGGGAGTGACGAGGCAAATGTAATTTGATCCCAGCACGCAAATACCGCAATAATGAGAAAATCCCAAAAAGGAACCCTATAATCTTGAAAGTTGAAATAGAATAGAAATAATAAAACGACGATTAACCCAATGATCTTCACGATTCAAACATTCTTTTGGGGAAAAAAAAAAGGAATTGATAGAAATTGTAACATCCAACCTGTTTTGCTTTCTCAAATACGGCAGTAATGAGAAAATCCCAAAAAGGAACCCTATTCTCAACAATCATATCGTATAAGTTCGAATAGCACAGAAATAACAAAACAACGATTAATCCAATAATCGTCAGGATTCAAACATTGATCTAAAAAAAAAACAGAACCTTCCTAACACAAAAACAAAGACTGAAATTTATATCTGGAAACACAAAACGGTAGACTTATCTGGGACGCATCAGTCACGATTCTTCAAGCGTTCGAGACGCTGGTTCAACGTCTCGATCCTGACGACGAGATTGGTGACGGAGTAGAGGAGCCAATAGAAGAGGAGAGCGGCGCCGATGAGGAGGGCGTTGCGCTGACTCTTCATGATCGATTTCTGGTGGCGAAGGTGCTCCGTCGGCGTGCACGAATCTCCCTCGCAACTTGGCCTTGTCTCGTACTTCCAGTAAATATCCATCAGAAGGAACAGACAAAACGGCACCACCGACAGGAACGGCTTCAGCAGGTTCCGAGTCACCGCGATCAGCCCCTTACGAAGCCCGTCAAGCCCCGGGATCGTCAGCAGCAACACCATTATCGCCTCTGCAGCCGCAGCGTACCCTAGCACAACCCATTCCAGCGCCATTAGATCTCCGGTATCAGTTTTCGGTCGATATGCGAAAATGCTTCTTTTCTTCCTTGACAAGTGGTTCTTCTCTTCTCACATCAAGGCTTTTGAAGATGTAACACTGAAGCGACACGTGCTGTACACGTGACAGCCCACCGATAATTTAAAGTAACTAACTGAGGCCCAACAAAGCCCAAGACATGTTTCTTTGGGCTTGCTTGGTCCGGCAATTTCTTGTTAAGTCAGTTGGCCCGATCTGACAAAACAGATTTAGAGTTATACTAATGGGCTAACCTAATAAATCTTATGAACTCGGCTCAGCCTGGATAATTTTTTGATTATCAATGCCTAATTAAAAATTTTGTGATATCTATGAGTAGAATAAAGTAAAATCTATTATTAATAACCTTTATATTATTATACATTGTTTTACATATAATAAAGCTGCGATAAAGGAGAGATCTGAATTATTAGTCTTTTTCTCCTTTGTGACAACATTTTATAACTTGGTTTAGTGAGTAATAAAAATTTAAAAAATTTAGGCTGCCTTTGATATTTAACCAATACTTATAGACAATGTTATAAAAACTGGATCGACCCGGAAACTGGTGAACCGGTCATATAATTGGTCCGGTTTTCATATTAGACCGGCCATGTTACAGAACCGGTGTGACCCGGTCGGTTTTCGTAAAAATCGGTGACTCAGTCGGTTCAACCAATGACCCGGCCCAGTTTGTAAAAAAAAAAAAAAAAAAAAACTAATTTATTTTTATCCATTGATGTCTTCCTTTTTTTTAACTCTCAAACACAAATGATTTGTTTTCTTTTGAAATATTTGAGTAATTTGTAACTTATTAACTTACATAGATTATGTACCTATAACACTAATATTATTTTGGTTATGCAATATGCAGAGAATTTTGATTTGATTTATAGTTAGACATATCGTTTACTGAACCTGAAACATCAGTATAACAAATATTATATGTTTGATTACTCTTTTGATGGACAATGATGTATAATTTATTATTTTTCATATTAAAATATTTGAAATTGGTATATTTTTTAACACGTATTTAAGTTTATTTATAGTATTTTAATATAAATTATAGATTTACATATATGTACGGGGTCATGCGATTGAACCAGTGACCCATTAATTGAACCAATAACTCAATGACCTAGTACCTCGGCCGGTTTGATAACCGGGTCGGGTTTAATAACATTGCTTATACACAATGTTTTTTTATAATATGCTTATCCTTATTATTATTTTAACAAATCAAACCCAAATGTCTATATGTTAACCGTTATCGAGCACAAAAAGGAGAAAGCAAGCACGGCGAGCGACATATGTTTTGCCACTAATCATACATGGTGGAGTCGAAGCCAATGCTTACCATGCACATATATTTAGAGCCTCATAACCACTAATTACATGGAGGAAATCTTCAAATGTCGACATTTATGGAAACCTAACCATCTCTGAATTTTTCTTGTGACTCATGATTATTATTACTGCGAGGGAAGTCAAAAGGCTGATTTAACTGAATAGGTTCTGTTAATGACAAGTGTTGGGAAGGTTCTTTTTAACCCTCAGGAAACCAAGAGCAATCAATATTCACCACTTGACAAGTTTTTTTAACCAATCATCACTGTCACTATCAATACCAACACCTGTTTTCCTGTTTCCCACTCAGTCAGATTACTAGTGTTATTCTTTAAGGGACAGATTCGTTTACAAATATTTTCGAATTTTTTTACAAATTACACTATATTCTTCTGGGAGAATATAGTGTAGTTTGTAAAAGTTTATATTCTCCCGAGAGAATATAATGTAGTTTGTAAAAATTTATAAATATAACATACTCCATTCTTTAAAACAGTTTACCCTTTTGAAATAGTTATTTAAATCTCACTATTTTTGTTCTCCTCTTTTGAACATGAAGATGAAAATTAATGGAGAAAATTAGCGCCTTGAATTCTTTGTTTAAAAGTAATTTTATGATTTTTAGAAAAAAATATATTTGATAAGTCTTGTTTTGTAAAAATTGTTCTAAACATTATAACTTTTTTTAATTTTTAGAATCAAATTTATAGAAAATACCTATTTCATTGATTATTCTACAAAATAATATGAAGAATAATAATAATAAACACAATCAAGCATAACCTTAATATCTCTTCCCATTTCTTCGTTTCTACCCCTTTTTTGTATAATTATCCAAAAGGACTTATAAGACATGAAGTTTCCTTCCTTATTCTTTTCACATATGCCACAGCGTAAAGAAGATAGGTACTGGTCGAAAGTAGAATCTTACCTTTTTCTAATAACGCCATTTGTATAATCAAGAACAAAGTTGAAGCCGATGCTGCCTTACACGCCTTTTTATTAAAAAACTTTTTAAAAGGTATAACAAGCCAAAACTAGGTGTTAAGTCATTTAGTATATAAAGTTACCAAAGTAGTGCCCTATAGTAGTTTCTTTCTTTGTCAATTTCATTTTTCCCTTATAAACTGAAAGATTTGCTTAATTGATTAAATTAGTAGCTGAATAGTTATAAAATATAAAAAGAATAATTGAAATAGAAGTATATTCGGTTCATAATCTAATCGATTAATTAAACTAGCTAGGCTAGTTGAGTCACCTTCTGAAATTCCACATAACCACATATATATCATTTGTCACACTCTTTGACTTTTGACTACTGGCAGGCACATTACACCCTCTATACCTTTTGAAAAACTCTATAGATGTCTATAACACCTCATTTTCCACGGTGGAAAACACCACATTACATCTCAGATCATCCATTGAGGGACCTAGTTACTTTCATATCTATTTGCTCCTCCTTGACCACTAAACAATAATCTTCTTTAAAATATTTATAGCTTAATTTCTTAGTTTTTAGTACAACTTCATCTTTATGGCTATTTATATTTAGCTGTTGTTATGGACTTGACCTTGGTTCCTTCAATCAAGAAAATGACTTCCGCTTTTTTCGTTGGTTTTTAAAAAAGGACTTTAACATGCCAATATTTTTATATTGATTTTCAACTCAACGTATTTATTAAAACAAACCTTAGATTAAGTTCTTATTGTAGTTGGTCACCTACGTGTAAATCTCTGGGCACAAAGATATCACCCACCCTATATATTAAGTTTTAGGGTAAACTGTTTGTCATTTTAAATGACACAACTTACATCCTTTCAAAGAGGTGGGACCCACATCTTTATTTTTTTCTGTCCACTCTCTCCTTCTTTATCTATCTCTTTCTCTCAATTAAAATGACACAACTTTACATCTTTTAAAATGATACACATTTTTTCCTGAGTTTTAATATTTTTTTAGAACGAGAATGCAGCCGCAATTTCCGCAAACGCAGGTTTTTTAAAATACCTTCAACACAGGTGGTTTATGAGTATGCTTAGATTAACTTATTCTATTATCCAAAAAAAAAAAAAAGATTAAGCAGTAATGTTCTGATTCAATCAGTAATCTCTGACCACCAACGGGAATGTTCTAATTCAATCAGTAATCTTGAGTTTGTTTCATGCTGTTAATAATATAATTCTACTTTTCATCCACCTGTTCATTTTTTAATGTCCCTGCGTACAATTGTCTTTACTTTTATTTGCCTCTTAAAACCTCTTTATTATTCAATGTCATCATACCTGCTTAATACTTATGAATTTGTTGATGCAGGAAAGGAATATACAATGAATTATGAACACGACGGGGATTATGATTGTCAGGTATGGTATCGTATGTCCTATGTTCTGTTTGAGGAAAGAGAGACAAACAGGGTTTCATAATCAAGGTTAGTAAAAGGATAAGTAAAGTAATGTTAAGTGGTGCCAAGGTTTATATAGATTGGGACAAAAGCAAGAGTTCCTATATTAAAAGCAAACCCAAAAAGCAATTGATGATGGAGGATAAAGATAAGGATGGAAAGAGAGAAGATTCTGGAGGCATTTAGTGAACATTGTTTACTTACAAAGACTATGGTCTGATAATTATTGGTACTTTTTACCAAATATCTAATTGATACTTTCTATTTAATTACTTGACACATTGGCGCTTCCCTTCTCATAAAATAATAGAGTGATGATGATACTTCCTTAATCATTGCAAGATTATAATTTTGCATCCTTAATATTCAATGTTTCTTTTTTCTCATTAGAAAAACCTCTGTCATTAAAGTTTAACAGTATACTGCTTGGTCAAACATCAGTTGGTATTTTTTTGCATCTTCTGAATAGCAAATAAAGGCCACCCAATATTAGCTTCCGTAATGTAGATTGGCATTTAAGTAGCAATTAGCCAAACTAGTCACAATAATAATAATAAAAAAAGAGCCTATAAAGAGCAGACTATTGATGTCTATTGAAATACCCAGATGATTGCATGGCTATGAATTTCAAGCAAATGTAAGAAAACCAAATTGCAGACTGCACCAACTCATTAAGCTGACAAGTTTGTGACCGCTTTCTTTATAACTGCATCATCTCTGATTTTTGTGTCGAATGTTAAACACATATTTGCAAAGGATCTGTCAAACTTAATGTTTAAGATTAATAGTACTGGCTTTCATATTGATATTAACAATGACATCAAGGTCTGTCCCATAGATTTTAGATCTAGAACAGGGTTCAAGGCGTTAGGTAAAAATTTTTACATCCTGAGATGGATCTTGGGCTGAGATCATTAGAGAATAAGATGTAGAAATAGAATTCATAAATTAACACCTGCATGAGCACGTCTGTTATAATTTATAATGGCCCAAACAGTGTAAAGTAATACAAGCGATTGACCAATAACCAGATCATAAGTCACAAATGATAACAAAATTGGGACACTGATTTGACAGAAATTTTATCAAGTTTGTCTTCATCTAACTTTTTGGATGGAAAGTAAAGTTCTTCATCTTGTTCTAATATAAAAGTAAGCAAAAACTCTATACCCACCAAAGGCTATAACATAACATACTGAACTTTTCACTGAAATGTTCACTATTTGTACACATTAGTGGACACTAGACAAGTAAATAAGTGGTCACAGAGAGTGGAATCTTTGAGCCTTTTCTCCTTATTGCAACTAATTCTGTAACTTGTTTCAAGGAACTACTTTTTCCATACACATCTTTCTATCTATACCTTAACTGGTATTTTTTTATAAAGGGAACTATGCAGGAAGCTTACAAAGATAAGAATAAGACGGATTGAATACAAAAAGGGAAAGTTTAAACTGAGGGACTAAAAGAGTGCCAAAAGAGCCACCGAAAGACAAGTAGTATACCATAGAAAAGCATGGACAAAAGTTCAATACCAGTGCTATGCACATATTATTCTTTATTTACCACCTGCATATTTTAGAAAAGAGAAGCATTATAACAATGATAAATTAAATATTTAAGGAGATTGCATACATATATATATGTACCACATAAACCATACCTTTATGCTTTTCGCACACCTTGGACAAGAAGGAAAGGAAAACGACGATTAGAGCAACCCCAGCAATGAGTCCAATTAGAATGGCGAGTGTCTTCTCAATCTCATCATCATTGTGATTGTTATCAGCTACATTGCTCAAAATAAATAAGAAAATCAGACAACATCTCATGGGAAATGTGAATGTTTAAAATTAGTGTCGCAGTAATAGATAGTAGATACAATGAAATTCAGTTCTGTTATGGTATTTTTTTATACCCTGCATTTTCAAATGTGCGTGATTGCAATTATATGCAATGTTTTGAGAATTTATGTTAGCAGATCAAAGGTTTTATTTATACAATTTATTATAATAATTTAAATTTTAAAAGAAAAATTATTTAAATTTATTGAAGATACAGTATTATCTTAAACAGTACATCTATGAATCATTGTATTATGCGTAAGATGATCTTTTATTCTGTTAATGTTTTTCAGGGATCAGGGAAGATGGGGATATCATTTCATCAATCGTGATTGTTCTTTCCATACATAGGATTCCACATTAAATCAAAGCGGCGCATTCATTGTCAAACAGATGTTATTGGAATGTTTGTATATTTATTAATTCTAGCACAAAGCCAGTCCAAAGTACTTTTGATCAAGCAAAATTTTGCAAATCTCCTTTTTCCCCTTTTTATTCCACTTACCATTTATTCCCCCTCGTTTGCTGAGCAAAAAGAATAACTTTTAATAAAGAATACAAAAGGGCAGTGGAAGCAGAATTGAAAATTCAGATGCAAACCTTCTAGAAAGAATAACATGATAATCAACAAATTTTGACTACATAATTAGCTTATGTAAATCAAATATCAAAGTTAACCATCATTGACACGTATAGTTTCAACAGAGGGATAATTATCCATTTCCAAGGCTCCACATATCTACAACAGTCATTTGAGCAAGCCATGGCATACATAAGCTATATGTGGTGGAAATTTCCCATTGGTACATAAAAAAATACCAAACAATCAAACACTCATGGAGACACACAACACACAATTACAAAACCCAGAAAATAATTACCCAACAACAAAAAAGGAAAAAAAAAAAGTTGCCAGAGCAATTCTAATTTTCCACACCCACTCACATGGGGAGTAAGTAACAACTTGTAAGCAAAATTCAAAGCTATATTAAGCAAAGTCAATTCTCCCTAACTAATTATCCAACACAAATTAAAAAAAAAAAAATGATTAGTAACTCACACAAGCAAAGGCCACAGCCAAAAGGTATAATAAGCCATAAACCACCACCGAACAAGGTGGGGGATCCGCTTACCGTTACTTCCGCGCGAGTAGCTCCCACCTTCCGAGTAGCGCGCGTAGCACTTGGCCAAGTACATCTCTCCCCAGGTGGAGGCCCCACAGTCCGTTTTCAACCGTTGGATGGCATCGGAAAGGCAATCCTGGCACTCGCTGGGACTCAAATCTCCCGTGCACTGCGCCACACCTTGCATATTCCCAGAGCCACTCGACCTGAACGTTTTGTAAGTCCCATCCGACGCCTGCAAATACGCCACCACAGCATCCCTTCGGGTCAACGCATCTGTGGTCAACCCAATCGACGGCCCACATTTCTTCACCACCACCGTCTTGTCCTCCACCCCAAGGAACGTGATATTATCGTACTTCACGAAGCAGCCGTCGAGCTGCAACGCGCCGCCGCACGAGCCGAAGCAGAGTGTGCCGAGTTGACTCACCGCACGCGCCACGCAGCGAGAACACTGGTCGTTGCTGAGGTCCCCACGGCACTGGAAGAGGCCGTAGACGGTGTCCGACGCGGCGGTGCCCTGATTGGTGAAGTTATTATAGTTTGTGAACGTGGCTGAGTTGACCAAGGAGGTGAGGATCGAGTTCACGCCGTTCTCGTAAGAGGAACCAGGCGTGAACTTCAGCTGGGAGCAACCGCCGAAGATGAAAGAGTCAGTGGAGGAGGTTGAAGGGGTTGTTATGGCTGAGAGTGTGAGAAGGAAGAGAAGAAGGAGAAGCATGTTGTTTATGTTTGTGCTTGACATGTGGTGTGAACGAATATGAGTGAGTGAGGCTGAGGAAATACTAAGAATGTTTTTGTTTTATGGATATGAGGGTGTTGTGGAATCTGATGATAGGTTCTTTCTTGTTGTGTGTGAGTTTGGGAGAGTACTGTGGTAATGGTGATGGGTTGCTTTGAGGAGAATTTACGTAAGGAAGTGAGGAAGTTGATGAAAGAAGAAGAGTATGTATGATTGTGGAAACAAAAAAGCAGAATGGAGTGCTAAATGGTTAAAGTAACTAACTAATCAAAGGTACCTTACCTACAATTATTTTCACACTTTTTGGCCTTTAAATTAAGGGAACTTGGGTTGAGTTAATACACTTAATGGGAACGTGTATAAGTGTATTGGTGGTATTGTACTGAGTTAGTTAAGGTTGAAGTCAAAAAATGGTTAAGGGGCAGGTGATTGTTGACTCAAAAGCCATTGAAAGGCCAAAAGGGGATATGGGTTTTTACCTACTACTACTAGTCTAGTACTATTATTTGGATGGAAGGTCACTTAGAAGGTTGCTAGCAACAATTTTTTTTTTTTTTAGTTAAGACAATCTTTATTGTTTGAGCTGGTTATGAAACTAATCTAGAGCGCATTCCAAATTAAAAATAAAGATATTTAAACTCTTTTCAAATATGACATTTTTCTTTTCATTTGCTGAGTCCCTTTCTTATTAACTGAACTACTAGCAACAATTTAAAAGAGTAGAAGAAACGTTAATCTGGTATTTCAGTTTTACACTTGCAATTTACCTTTTGAACGATTAATCTGTATAGAAATTAACGTGGTTTAGGGCATGTTTGGTGCATAGTGTATGATAAGGCTTGATAGTATAAGATCTGATTGTATAAGACTTGATTAAATTTTAATACTATCCTGCGTTTGGTATGGTATTGTATAAGATAATATTATCTAATATTTAAAAATTATTATATCAAAAAAATTATTTTAATATGTTAATATTAAAATGATATATTAGTTCTTAGGAATTGTACTTGTAAACAACATTAATACATCAACCCCTTATCAGGCCTTATCCCTCCCCCTTAGGCCGGATTAAGTTATATATCGTTTTGATGTATTAAGAGATCCTGCTGTATAAGCTTATACTATACGATGGTCACACCAAATAACTGAAAATATCATAACGTATAGTATAAGCTTATACTACCAGACCTTATACGTCACACCAAACATACCCTTAGTACGAACCTTTCATGCATAAGTTATTATAAATGTACCATTACCGATAATAATTAAATAGAGAATTTCTTTTTGAAAAAAATGAATAAATAACTGACATAATGTATACTTTTTATTTTACTTTTTGTTTTATAAATTGTTTATGAAAATGTATTCCGATCATTCGATATTTTTATTTTTATAAATTATTTTATGAAAAAAAATAAAGACACATAATTAATCATTTTTTCCCAAAATAAAATATACCACTAGATGGATGCTGTCCTATAGTGAAGTTGTAATCTAAGTGTCCATCGCAATCAGCTATACAGACCACAGTTATTTTCTGAAATTCCTGGTCCTTCGATCTTCATGAGTTTGTATTAAAGATTTATGAAGCACCGGCACTTTAAAAATTCTGTTGTATCGTGTCCGACATTTACTGACACTCATCGATATTTCGATACTTCCCGACACTCCAATACTCGCTGTAAAGACTCAAAAAAATTTCAAAAGTTACGTTGCATTGCATTTTGAGTTTCAACTATTAGATTTCTTAAATTACGATTACGATTTTATTGAGTTTAATATAAACTTTTGGGATATCTTATGTTTCTTTGAAAAATTGATGGGTATTACAAATTTAGTTTTATTTTTTTGTTAAATTATTAAATACTAAATATAATATACACTGCATAAATTAAAAATATTATATAATATCAAAATGTGTCCTAACGTATCAAAATTTAACATATTTTAAAATTAACATGTCAGAATATCGTGTCGTGTCGTATCCCGTATCATGTGTCTTGTGTCAGTATCGGTGCAACATAATTGAGGACACTATTCTTTCTTGGAGGTTTCATTGGGCGGTTGATAGAAACAGTTTGTTTGAATATGACTTACCTTGCTATGGAGCATCGGCGGACCTACATGGGGGGTTAAGGTGGGCTCTCACCCCCTCTAAAATATGAAAATATGTTCTACTATATGATATGTAATATGGTCTGTAAAAACAAAATTTTGAAAGTACTTTTAAAAAGTGAAAGACAAGCATGCTATTTATAAAAAAAGTGTTCCACTCGTTCATTGCACCGAATTTAGATATGTTCTCTAAATCTGATTCTAAAAAAAAAAAAAAAATAGTTACAATTTTCAAAAAAAATTTACAAAACAAGCCTTATCAAATAATATTTTTTTTTTATGTTCTAAAACCAAAAAATTATTTTTATAAACAGTTTTCTAACATGCCATTTAGTTTGGCAAATTCGTTTGGGCATTTACGCCCTTAAACTGTACGCTGTCCATATCTTTTCATTCTTATTCTGAACCAGAATATATCTCATGAGATTTCTGGTTTTTAATTGCCACATGTACTTGTATTTATCAATTGCCAAGAATATATTTGGTACTATCATCTTACTGAATAATGGGTATAACTCCTATTCAAAATAAAATACAGATTATGTATTCTCAAAAATATATAGATATTGTTTTTTATTTTTGCTTTTCATTTAGGAAATATGTCAGTATAGACATTGTGTTTTTATTGAGGGGATATAAATAAATACTACAATAGTATATTAGAAATTTCGACCAATTGCCTATCGAGAAGTCATAGTTTTTTTTTTCCGGTGAAAAGTCGTAGTTTTATTAACTTCTTTGCAAGTAGTATGCTGTTTATGGGAATAGGGAAATTTAAATTCAGATAGACTTTAAAAAATATAAATTAAAAAAACAATTAAAATTACGGTATGATGTTTGTCATTTTAAATGACATAAGTTATGTCATTTTAGGAGAAAAATAGACACAGAAATAATGAAAGAGAGAAAGTGAGTGGTTTTTTTAATTTAAAATTCAAATTTTATGTGTCTTTATCTCTTGTAAAATGACATAACTTTCTGTCATTTAAAATTACAAACACTTTTCCCTTAAAATTATGAAAAATATATGTACAATTAATTTAATAGAATTTAAAAATATACATCAAAAGGGGGGAACCAAGTTTATGCGAAAAGTATTCGTAATTGCTATTGACCTATTGTGTTGGTTTGTTTCAACTAATCAAGTTCCTCTTTGTGGTAGCTCATTTTTCAAGTTTAACGAAGTTGCGGTTTAGTTCGCAGAATGCGCAACCACTTGATTGTGCTTGCTTTTTTATGTTGCATTAAATTTACATAGTTTACCGTTACACCCAATCTTCTGAAAACTCTCTTACACCAAAAAAATGCTTATTTGTAAGCTTCAAAAGGACGTAGATTTTAATTGTGTATTTCCTTGGCAAAACAAAAATGTATCGGCTTAAATTATCAAGATGAATATTATATTAATAATTTTTTTTGGTATAACCTGAAGAGTATGACCCGAAAGCGAAGAATAATCCCTCCTTTAAGATAAGAGGCATGTCCTATGACTTTTGAAGATTTTTCAAGAATTTATTTAAGACAGTTTAAACTTAATTCTGACCCAAGTAAACCTTAGAAACTCAGTTGTCAAATGAGCTACCTTTGAGATTTTTTGAATATTCGAAAAGTATATAATATGTTTCTCAAACTCGAGATAACTAAATACATTGTGAATATAGAATGACACCAAAACAATTAATATGAAACTAACATTTCCCGTCGCATTTGCTAGCTGGCAACTCTAATTCCCTGTCACAAGGCCCACAACGACACCCCGTGACCTATTAAAAGTGCCTCGCGCCTGTTTATGAAGAAAATTATTTGAGTTAGATTGAGATGTCTGCTATTCAATTCATACTCCACTCCCATTTTCAAAGAGCTGTTAGACTGTGTTGGTTCATCTCTATGCCGTTAGATTCCTTAATTTCAATTATACATGAATTTCTTTCAAATCTTAATTATGATAAATGTTTCATTTGTTACTTTCGATTTCAGCAATTTTTTTTAATGTCTTGATTCATTTTCATTACTCAATGCTTTTGGTAAATCTTGATTATAGGAACTTTGACTGATATATTTGTTAGGTTTAAATTTTATTGAATATTTTTGTTTACAAAATTTAAAGAACTGAACTAAAATAGCTATATTTTTTCTTTACATGAAAGTTTAGGTGATATTAGATGTCATTATTCCACTAGAAGTAGAGCATACCTCTAATATTTTTCAAATTTTTTGAAAAGGATTACAGATCGCCCACTAATAAAGTTTTCATTTCGGTCAATAAAATTCGAACTCACACCTTTGTGGAGTATGAAGGGATATGGGACATAACAACAGAGGATAAATGCATTTAATTTTATAATTTACCGAAATAGACAAAAAGATAGAAGAATTTAATTATTTTTTATTAAGAGATATTCAATGTGCCTTTTTTAAATTAAAGACGAAACTAAAATCATATCTATCGATCACTGCATTCTTTTGTATAATAAAAATGAGTTAAAAAGTTGATAACTTGTTTTACAATTGATGCAGAAGGCAGGTCAATTGGTTGGCGTTTACTAATAAAGAGTTTTCAACAGAAATTGAATAAAAAGTATCTAATTATGTCGACGCAAATGATATTGTTAATTGAGTTAATCTTAGTTGGTAAAAAGCATACCATTATTGATATGAAAGAAATAAATATGAAATTTGCTAGATACATAAGGTATTGCACAGAAAAAACATAAAACTTAAGCGTGACAAATTCTTACCAAAAGGCACTACTATACAAGGTTGAATAGTATTGGACAAAGACATTTCTCTTCCCATCCTAATATACACTAGAGTGAGAAGCTTCGTAGCTCTAACTATTTGCAATAAAGCCTCAATAGTCAATTCAAGCCAAACTTCGTAAGCAAAGCAAACGAAGTTGATTGATAAGGATTAAACTAGCAAGAAACTCCCAAAGAATGACTACAATTGACTACGAATAATCATAAATTTCAATTACCTTGCGGAAAGACGAAACCATTAATTATAAGTTCCAACTTTTTGTTGATCAAGCATGTGATATTTTTTTAAATATTATGTGGAGCATTGACTGACTTAAGTCGTTCCAACAAATACAATTAAAAAAAAAAAAAGACTAAGGATTTTTTTTTTTCTTTGTGCAATTTTACTGAACAATGTGAGGATGAAGTTGAGATAAACTACAGTTTCAATATATAAACCAATAAGAACTTTATATTTAACTTAAGATTTAGATTTATATACGAGTTTTCTGTTTAATTATTGACATTATAATTTGATTTAGGAGGTTGCTAACTAAATAAATACATAATAAAGAATTTGCAAATGAAAGGCAACATGGCCCCCCTGATCTCTCCGACTCTGTTTAAGAAAAAGTTTCATAGAGAAGAAAATTCTTCCACATTTCAATAGCATAAAAAGAAGTGACGCGAAGAGCACCCAAACAACTTCAATTATTTGTCTTCTTTTAAGTTGTCTGGCTATTAGAAAATTTATTTTTCCCCACATAAGAACAATCAATTGAGTGATTAACTAATGACCTAGCGTTATTTTATATATATTGTTATATACGTAGAACCCCTCATATATACATACAACATTTGAAAGTAGTATTTTTATTTTTTATTTTCTAGTTATGGGTGTTTCAATTTAATTATAGAAGTATTACATTAATTTCCCAATAATCAAATTAAAAGCCCTATAATATAATTTTTCATTAAAGTTTAACTCAGTCTTCATTTTTTCTTTGGTTAAACTTTGACTCAAGTCAACCATCAAAGATTCAAAGGGCGAGCAACCTCACGACGGTCTTCATGAATCGTAGGGCCAAGCAATTTACTATATATATCATCATCAGAAGTACTAGTTTGAAATCTCATCACCTTAGTCAATATAATAAATTAATCTACAAACTTATATAGTTCAAATTAACAGTTATATGATAATTAACTATTACTACTCCTGTATATGGCTTAGGAGTTTCATATGAATCCATTAAATTATTAGAAAATTATCTCCTAACACTGAGATCATTCTTCATTTTTTTTTCCATACACATAGAGAGAGAGAGAGAGATATCCATTTTTAGACTTTGGCATACAATAAGAGCTTCTGGTTGAATACTAATCTCAATTAAAAAAATAATTTTGTTTATATTTAGTCAATATAAGAGCTTCTCGTTGAATAAGATGAAGTGGATTGATGCCTACGTATCAAGCAAACTCCCATAATTGACTAAGCAGAAAACAAAATTCCTTCAAACCCGTCCATATGGACAAGTCGTTTTATGAAAAAAAAAATGACACTTAAATTACATCTCTCTCTTTTATTTTTTTATTTTTTATTTTTCACATGGTCAAAACAAAAAGGGAAAAAAAAAAAATCATATTTTTGTTTCCATGATTGAGTACTAATGTCTAATATCACAAACATGTAACATTCAACGTATTATTTAAGTTTCTTTCTCTCTCACACACACACATGGTTGGTGGGTGCAGTTACCTATTGAGGAGGAGTAAGCATTAGGTGTTCCCATCAAAGGAAAAGAAAAGCGAAAGGCCATTGCAAGAGGGAAGGAAGGAAGGTCACCTCACATGATTCAATAATGAAGGCACTCTTTCATTGTCTCCGATATAATTTTTTGTTTACACTATTCTGTTTACATGGGAAGTAATGAGGATTTTTGTCTTTGCCTTTTGATGTGCCACCACAAGAACACAACACTACAACTCTACATTAAGCTTTCAGCCTCAACTTCCGACCAAAAAGCCAACCTCATTTTGCCAATGCAGATAAGGTTTTCAATGAGTTATAGCATCGCATCGATGACTTTACCTTTAAATAAATGACACCAAACCCATTACCGAATTTGGCGGTTGATTGAGTTTGTGTCGAACTATCCTAGTCTAGGTGGCCAACCTCGTTTGTTATGATTATAGCTATATTATACAAATAAACCACAGGAATGGGAAACATAAGATAAATAATTGAAAACCCCATACTGCTTATTGCTAGCTACATAACTTCTGGATATAGCGTATCCACATCCACGTGAAAGTGGCATTTGTATAATTGTATCTTTAGTCTTAATTATTTAATGCAAATTCTAATCAATTTAGCGCTGCAGGCATAACAAAGTTTTGCATAGATGGAATTTTAAGTATGCTATTGATACGGATCAAGAATCCTTCATTATGCAATGAAAAATACTAATGCATTTTTACACATAGGTTGCTTTTAATGCATATTGAGATATAGTACAAAAAGGACAATATAAGTGTTTGAATCACATAACAATTTTTTATATTATTAATTACTTGATAATCAATGCACAAAATAAGAATGAGATATGTATTATAATACCATTTGTATTCTGCATTGTTGAATACGGAATAAAGAAGATATACCAGTTTCTCCAAACAAACAAAAAACATGATATACTAGTCATTCGTCTTTTTCGCTTTTTGTGATGGACAGGATTTTGTATCCTAACTTAGTGAATAATAAAATTTCAAACATTTATATTATTTCTTGAATTACTTAATGTTTATACATTTTAACAATCAAATAAAATATAACATTTTTTAATAATATTTCTTATTTTTTTTAAAATCAAACCCTTGATCTCAATCGACAATAAATACGTAGTTTTGAAAAAAATTAGAACTTAACTAAAACCACAATACGCATTAATGGTATGTTTATTTCTGCTCTTTATTAAAGGAAAAAAAAAACTATTTTTTAATTAAAAATTTCATAATGATCAAATGATTTTGATATTTTCAAGAGAATTAAGTAATAACCTCAGAGAATTATTTTGATAATTTCTCATGAGTTAAATAATAACTTACAAAAATACTCTATAAAAATTGTTTCTTAAAAGTATCTTTTTTTATAATTCCATCTAAGCAAACCCTAAATGTCGGTTATCGCTTAAACCTGGCCAATAGCAAAAAGTACGCCATTTTTAGGGTATTATCCTCTTACGATATTGATGAAGTTGGGGTCAGAGTTCGAGCTACTGTGATTAATAATTAACTATAAAACGAAAAAGATAAAAAAAAAAAAAAATAATAATAATAAGTAGAAAAACAAAACTGATCACTGAGAATAAAATTGAATTTGTAAATAAATGCCTTCCTACCTCAAAAAGACTTTTTTTTTTAATCTAAAATAAATATATCGTTTAATTTTTTTCCGGATATGTCTAAGTCTAGAATATCAGATTCTTTCAACAAGACTATCCCAAATAGTCATACTACAAGGTGCACGAATGGATGGGCATTTTTCGGATTTTCTTTTCTTCTGCAAATTAGCGCTATAGACACCTTCATATTCATATCACTCGTACCCAAATAAGGCTAATACCGATCACTCATCTGCACCTTTACCTCATTGCTAAGATTGCTTAGTAAATAAAATTGAGCAAAATGCCATCTGGATCAAAATGGAAGGATGTGAATTACCGGACAAAAGCAGTCCAACAAGAACTCATTAAGCATTGCATCCCGATTCGACTCAGTCCTGCCTTAGCGACCTTTGATAATGATGATTCGTGCATAATCTGATGCTTAATATGAAGCAACATTGCATCATTATTATTTTTTTAATACAACGAAATTTTTTAAACAACAAAAAGTTAATGAAGTGTAAGCTCCTACTTGATATGTAGGTTCTAAATCAAATGACTAATTTCTTTTCTGGTAATTTTTCCCATAATTAATACCACCTATTAACAGTAATATAACATAACCTGTCATTTTTCATTTTAGAATTGAAGTTGAGAAAACAATTTAATGACAAATTGAATGTTATCCTACAATTTCAGGATGAAAGTATGCACACTGCTCAGTGCTCACACCTACACAGATGAAAACATTAAAAAGCAAAGATAAAAGGTTCCAACTGCCAAATTAGAATCCGCCGTAAAAGCAGTTTCCACACAATTCAAAATAAAATTTCAAGGATACGATAGTCGCTCATTGATTGCTCCAGGTTACATACGCAAATGATCCATAATTACATTTATAAATGCATTAACCCATGAACTGGGATTATCTATTCAATATAATTATTTACATTATTATTCTTGGATTCTCACCTGAATTACACGATACAACATCTCAGCACCATCCCCTTTTGGTCAATCCTGCCATCTTCGTTGCCTGAAAGTCATATATATGATCATTAATGCAAATCTTCTAACAAACGATCTTCTAGTTCCAACTATGTTATATAACAACAGCTTATAATCAAGTCAGCACAGGCTAGAATATAGGAAAATTTGATCCAGTCAGTACAAGTTTTTAGACATTAAATGAGTTTGACTTCCTAGACAAGTGTTGCAAACTCCTTTAATTTATTACTTTCGGGTATATCCTCACAGACATTTTTGCGAGACCAACTCCTCCGGACACTGTCGCCGCTAGGAGACCTCCAAACAGCTGTATTTTCTAGGGTTTGAACTTTGATCCTCCCTTTGGGAGTACGCCTTGCTTACTACTCCAAACAACCCTTTTTGGTAAACTCCTTTCATGATTTGATCATTTCACGATAAATAATTGGATGATAATGTAAAGAAATTTTACGCAGACAGGGGATCAAAATTAAATCCAATATATATATAGTCCCATATATATATATATATGAGAAAAATATTTCTCAAGTCACTGAGTTAACCTTATCTCTGGCCACCCCAAAATTACATCGTTTTGGGTGTTAATTAATGAAGAGTGTTTTGGTATTTTTGTTTGTTTATTTATTGTATAAATTTTACCAAAACACTATTCATTAATTCTCCTAAAACCAAAAACGATATACCAAAAATGATATAGTTTTGGGGTGGCCAGAGATAAGGTTATCTCAAGTGATTTGAGAAACGATAAACCCAATATATATATATATATAGAGAGAGAGAGAGAGAGTGGTGTGTGTTGAGATTCTTTAACATTATGAGATATCACAAAACGAAAGCTATATAATTATTTTGTAAATCATATAAATTTACAGTTGCAGACAAGTCATAGTTTAGGTATTAAATTTGTTATTTTTTGCTGAAATATAATAAAAAATATAGTCATCGAAGATTCCAGTCTCTAGATATCAAATCCTGGGAATACCCGCACAAATTCAATGCAGTTTCTTAAGTAACAAAACAAGTTGTCTTAAAACAAAAGCACTTACTAAGACTACTTGCTCAGAGAACAATCCATCAGAAATTCTTTACTCTCAAACTATTCTATGAAGTTAAATGCTGAATAGCTCACAAGTAATTCATTATGTCTTCTTCATGTTTTCAAGGATCTCTTTTCCAAAGCATTACAAGTTCAATAAGATCAACAATCTCCATAACCTCTGACAAATAACTTCCAATCTCTTAACCAATAGATACAGTAAGTTCACATCCAATAATCTATCTATCACAACAGAAGATCATCTTAGTCTACAGGTTTTGACAATGACAAAAGAAACAACTCTTGTGATTTCACAACTGACAAATTAACCATACAGTCCATTCTATAGAAAATACTAAATTTAAAAATAATAATAATAATAATAATAATAATAACCAAACCCATTCATATAGAAATTGCTAAAATAGAGATAAAAATTTATAAAAAAACTAGTAATAATCAGAAATAAGATTGACAAACCTTCAAGAGGCTGAGCTAGCTTCCGGTTTTGTGGAGACGTCATTTCTTTCTTCAATTGCATTAAAATGTCTTCCATTGTACACTCTCTTTGCCAATTAGCAAGCATGGGAAACAAATGTGGCTCAACCTGGTAATTTAGATATTTATAAGTTCAACTTTGATTTACAATACTGTAAAAAATCTTCAAGGAAAATGTTACCTACCACTCCAGTTTCTTGGTTGACGCAAGTCATGTTAATCCTTGTCTGAAATCTAACAGATGGTGGACTTTCTGGATAATCCTTGCCACAAAACAATTTCAACTGGTAGATACGCCCTTCATGAACGGTCTAGTAAAAGAACAAGATGGACAGGAAAATTCACCAAATCAATATATTGTTTGGTAGACACTGATTTCACTTAGCAACTAGAAAGTGGCACACACATCATGTGCATGGAGTTAAGGCGGAAAAAATATAGTGGAGACAAAAGTAGTTCAATTAACAGCAGAGTAAAATAGGGATCTTGGATAAAGAAAATGGAATTCAAATACTTAGAAATATTAACTAATTTATTTTAAACCATGTAAGGTTGAGGGCAAGCCTTTGTGACCGGAAGGTCACGGGTTCATGTAATGGGAAACAGTCTCTTTCCAAAAATACAAGCGTAGAACTGCGTACAATCAACCCCCACCCCTACCCTCACAAAGTCAGGGAGCCTTGTGCGTCAAGGTTTGCCCTTTGTTCTTTATTTTAAACCATGTAGACTCCCAAGGAAAATAACCATTTAGTTGCCGAAGCAAAATTCTTGGAAACCAAATCCCCAATACCCACACCCACTTCATTCTGATTGAAATATAACCTGTTCAAAGATAAATGAGACATGCAAACACCAAATTTGCCAGCATACATTGGCAAGGATGATGTGTATTGTTGATCAAAATAGACAAGCAAAAGCAGATCACTTAGACCAATAGCGGTCTTAAAAAAATAATAAATTCTGCAATTTTGCAAAGAGGTTTTCATTGCATCAAATATAACAGAATTTCTGCAAAGAACAGCATAGCTTACACCAGGAGGGCCAATAATAGTTCCAGTCCATGACTGCATGTATATATCATCAGCATCATCCATTCCATAGCTCACAGTTCCATCTCCGATTCCCTTTTCACCTCTTTCAAGCTCTTCCAATAATCTGAAATTCCTAGGAACTGCATAGATAGACCAAAAAATTTAACAAGAGTAAATTACAAATACATGCTCTAAAAAAACAGTTGCAATAACTGATGAACGTAATCAATGATTAGTTACATTTACTAGTAGGTTGAAAAAAGGGGGGAATATGCAAATCACATTGCAAAGAATAAATTACAGTCAATAAATCTTGAGTTCATTGATTATAGAATCTTCTCAACGTCTCTATTCATATATCCATTATAACTGGTACAAAGAGAATGACTGGATCCAAAAGCTGACAGTTTTAGCCCAATTGCTGCCCAAAAGCTGTCTGCCCAATTTCACTCAAAAAGTTATCAAGCTGGCATTATTTATAATAGGGCCAAATTGGCCAGCCCTACTCTAGTCTATTGTTTCTTGAAGTCCAATAAAAGAATGGGCCAAAATCAAAATGCTAAATTTTAAATAAGCCCATTAACTGAACTTTAGAAGACCGACTTTTAAAAATAAAAATACATTACTTAAAACTGTGTTTTGTTGAATAAGGTTATTATTTCAGTCTTGTCTTCTTGCTAGTACCGGCGCATCCTTCCCCTGCTTCTTTCATCTCTGTAACTCACCAACCTGTGCACCCTCATCTCCTCTTTCCTTCGTCTTTGTAACTGCTTGATACCATGGCAGGTTCCTCCATTCATTGTCTTTCAATTTTATTTTTATTTTTTTTCCATCTTTCATTCAATTTTTCACAAGAAGTTGGTTCACAAACTTTCATGATCTAGATCGCGTCCAGATCACTAAAGTACCACAATCTAGTACCCATGAACGAGTACGCGGGACAAGGGTGGTAGGAGTGAATTTGGCAACCTAATCCACTCTCCTTCACCGGCTATACAAGTTACAACACATGTACTATCAGACTACAGGATCCCTGCTAGAATCTCCTGCTCCTGACCATAGAAAGCCTGTCATAATCTCCACAATCCTTTGCACCACACCCACAGAACAAGTGGATATAACGAGCTTGTAAATGTAATACCAATTTAACCTTTTTGTTTAAAAAAAAATACTAGAGAAATATACAGCACCGCTTTGTCCCTCCACTTTTTCCTAATTTTATTCCCACTCTTTCAACCTTTATGTACTTAAATAATTTTATAACCCTGCAAACAAATATGGGCCTATTCGAGTATAATGCCAAGGAAGCATGACAAAGTCAGTGGCCCAGTTGAAAGACTAAACAACAATGCAGCAATATAACGTTCAAATATACATGGGATATGCTAGAGCACGGTGCCTAAAGTTTCCACACTGAGTTAACTGAGAAGGAAGAGATACCTAGAATCTAAAAACTCAGCAAGCAACAATATTGAGAAAGTGGTATTACCGAGTACATTGAGCATAAATAAAAACACAGAAAATTAAAAGTCCATACTACATACTACATACTCTTAAAATTAAAAGTCCATACTGCATAAGAATAAACACCAATAGCCCAATTTAATACAAACACAGCTCAAACGCAAAGTACTTATCTCATCATAACCCATATACCACAGCCCCAGGTCCAAACGAACCGTTGCACCCATTACGAAACAAAGCAAACAAAGAGAAAGTAATTAAAAATTCTAGATTATGCCCATAACAACAGGAAACTCACAAAAGCTACACAATTAGAGAAGCACATAATTATACAGAAAAAAAAAAAAAAAAAGCGCCATCGGAAACAACAAAAATACGACGAACGAGAGATAATAGGAAATAAATATCCGCGTGAAGGAGCTCAATACTGACCAACGACACTGGATCCTTCGGAACCCATTTTGATGTTGAATTGGAAGGGCTAGGGTTTGGAAATCCTAGAGAGAGAAAGTCACAAAGTTACGCAAAGAGAAAGATAGTGAGAGAGAGACCGTGATCCTGATGATGACTGCGACAGAAGTCCAACAGCTGTTTGTAAAAGTTGAAGGTCCGCTACGCATATAATATAATAATATATAGATTTAGTGATTAACACTTCAGTACGGTAAAGGGAACCAAGTGGGTGTGGGTGTCATTGATTTCCAATTAGTTACATTAATTAAACTAAGGTCAATACTTTTCTCGTGCTATTGGAGAGGAGGAAATCTTCTGCACACTCAAATTTATGGTGAGACCCACACATAAAAAATAAAGAAAATAAAAAAAATTATTGCACGCAAAACAAACTCTCACTAACATGAGAAGATAGCTCTCCTACAATATAAGAATTCTTTTTCCCTTGAACTAAACTATAACACTAGTTAGTTTAACTGTTTTGTGTTTTTGCTGGGCCTTGGCCTTTTCATGTACCCAAAACAAAACTATAACCTAACCGTATATTACATTAAAAATTTAGTTGCCCAATATACAAATTTTGGCTTAATTATATGTTCTATTATCTGTAAATTATACATATGTCATATTTTTATGATATAAAAAATAAAATAATTGGAAAATAATGTTATTTAGTCTTCTACTCTTCTTAATGCCAATCCAACTATATTCAAACAAAGTTAAACCAGACTGAAAATAAACATAAATACTCACCAAAAAAAAACAATCAAAACAATTAATAATAGCATTAAAAATTAGGAATATTATTTGACTATATTTTAGTGGAGAGTACAGCGAATTAATCCTTAAAAACTCTTTTGTTGGTTGCATAAAACTCAGGAAATTTTATAATAAACCACAAATATCCTCTTCAGAAGGCAATCACAAATCATATTAAAAGTGGATTCAAAATTAAGACTTTAAACTATTCTCAAATATGAGTGAATCAATAAAACTCGAATTTTTATTTTTTTTGGTGAAGGAAACTCGAATTTTTTTATCTCAACACTTGTTTCCTTTCCGTAAATTGTACACCGTAAGTAATAAAGAGGAATCTACTAACTAAAAACGGAGAAGGGTTTGCTTAGTTATAATTATTTAAGTTTATGAGGGGAGTGAAGATAGGATATAGCAAATGGTAACCAAAACAGCTTAGGATGTTTTTATTTTTTTATTTTGTTTAGTACAAACAGTTTAGGATGTTTAGAGGACTACTAAAGAGGTATATGAATAGAAAAATATGAGTCGAGATCCAAAGTCCAAAGTTAGGATTAAACAGATACAAAACAAAATCAATATCTCGATAAAATATGTCATTTCCTCGACTAACTTACGTAAATGAACATGAAAACAATCCTAAATTGTCATAAACCTATACTCTCAATTCTGATGTAAAAGTGAATGATGAACTGCAAAGTTGGCTCCGGCAAATACTGGGGTTTATGGGTTTAAACGTCTCCGAAGTTCCTCCACAAGATTTCCTCTAGGAATGCTTACATCATTACTGGCCTCAAGGTCTTTCAATTGCACCACGCCTTCTTTTATTTCCTGGTCACCAACAAATATCATCCATGGGATCCTTGATTCTCTAGCATAGTCGAAGTGCTTCTGTCTCCTTTTATTGACCAAGAATTCTGCCTTCACTCCAGCATCCCACAGTTCACCTGCCAGCTCTGCAGCGAGTGATAGGTCACTCCCTAATATGCTCACTAGGACCTCTGTCTTGGTTGGTCGAGCCATCTAACAAAAACATCAACAAAAAATTAAAACATACTACAAAAAGAAGTATAAAAAGGAAAACAAATATAGCATACACTGGCTACACAGTAGTGCCACCATTCGTTCAAAAACTCTAGGCCAGAAAGTAAACCAGACGTTCACAACTTGATGAGGTGATACAAATTTTTGTGAAAATTAGAAAAAAAAAAAAGTAGACAAGTAGAAGGTGGTCAGTTTTATCAGAGCACTAAATGCAGTAAAGTGATGCATCCAGACACAGAATAAGAGTAAAACAATTAACACGTTTCCATACCAAAAAAGTAAAATTAATTCTAGGTAAAAGTCTGTCAATAAGTCTTCCACGCAGAAGACATGTATAATTTTAAAACCATAACAGAAAACGTTGGTTCTCAGTAGATGCACGTAGAGACATGTTTATGTGTCTTACCATCACAGTAAAATCTCGGTCATCACATATTTAAATGCATGTGCGGAAGACTCTATCTGTTTGTGTATTTCAAATTTGAATTGGTTAAAAAGGGACCTACTATTTCATAATGTGTTCTTCATTTGGGTATCTAGTATAAATTTTTATTATTATTCCAGTTAGAATGTTAGGTATAGTATATGGGACTGAGTTTTGAAAGGAACTTATTATGGACTCTGGTTTCATTGAGATTGCCCTGTTCTTTGTCTTTTGCCCCTCTTCTCTAATTTTTACCTCTTATCTTTTCTTCACTGCTTTATATGGCTTCAAGTTCTGCACTTAATTCACATAAAAAAATTCTTTCAAAATTATCCAGAAAACCAGGAAAGTTATCTGTGGCATCACTTAACTTTGCAAAGAGTTACATTCCTTAAGTTAACTTCAGGATTCCGACTCATTTGAATCCCAAACATCCCTTAGTGACGAGATAAAACCTACCAGGGTCCAGAAATTGGGTGTTCTTCATTTTCAATAAATGATGAGACTGATTCATTTAATTTACTTCAACAAAGTACAGATGCAATGTCATTTGCATTAATTTCCCCATCTGTGTACTCACCAATTTATTCAGGAACATTATCTGGCTTGTATTCAAATAATTAGTGTTTTTCAATTTTGGGCCTTTCATGATTATTCAATAGCTGAAAACCAAGGTCAACCTTGAATAAAGTTCACTGAATTTTGTACCAAAATTGGTGTCAAAATGGAATTTGATACCAGATTATCAAGGAATATTTATTTGTCTTTAACATAACTAATAAAGTTACGTATCAACCATTATGATCACCTGGTTCTGATCCTTCTGATTTTGCTCCATTATTGCAAATACTCTTTCAATTCCCAGACTGACACCAACTGCTGGAACTTGCTTTGAACCAAACATCCCTATCAGGTTATCATATCGGCCACCAGCAGCAATTGAACCGACCTGTGTAAGAAAATAAATTCATCCCTAAATATAAACAGAAGATTCCAATAAAAACTAAGCAAATGAAACACAAACAGAACACTGTATATGCACAAATATGACTATTATAAGAGTACCAGAGGTAAGCCACTTTCAAGAATCAAAGATTTCATTTTACTTTTACATATTTTTCACTAGGCTTTTTGAAAAAGAATTTTAATTACAGAAAAATTATGAGAAAATCAAGTTGAACTGCATCTCAGCCTACGGTTTCAAATTAAATTTGGTGCTGATCCAACGAACATTCTATACAAAAACTAAAAACATGAACTGAACTATAACACCACTGCTACAACCATCCAAAAAGGAATTCCTTGCATTACATTTCTCAAACAGACAGAGGAAAGGGGGTTTCTCCACTATATATTCTATACAACATGTTTCATAACATTAGAAGTAAAAATGAATATACCAAACAAAACACAAAGAGAACATGTGTTATATAAAATTTAGTGACGCAGGAAGTTGAAAAATCCAGAAGCTATCAATCAGCTTGATCAAAATATTTCCTAAAACTATTGGTTCAAATGGTAAGGAACTTATTCCTCTTTTGAGCACCGAGAAAAGAGAAAATTGTCTTGGGAGAGCTGCACCCTATAATGGATCCAAGAGTGCTCGAACCGAATTAATCGAGTAATTGATGAGCCGGTGAATGTATCTAAAAAAATATTTCCTTATATTATTTATGTTATTTGGGCATTCTTTATTTAAATGTGGTTGGTTATTTAACTTGGACTTCATGTATGGGACAACCTGACTCCCAAGGTTTGTTTACCAATCCCATGTAAGTGAAATATCCAGCTGTCAAAGAATATTGAATGAATTAATAAGAACTATTGCAGCACTCTATTCATTATCATGTGATGCCTAAGTTGTTGAAATGATCATCTACTAACTGAACTTTTTTTTGGACAAAACAAGACATCATTAAGAGAAAGAAGTACTGAGGATAAGACAATGTTTTTAATGGCATATCACGTATGGCAGCTCATGGCAGAAGCAAGGCAGTAATAAATAAATAATATATATACATACAATAAAATATACTAAAAAACGGTTGAATATGATAAATAAGTTAAACTAAATAACGTATATCAAGAACAACAAATTAGACACATCGTAGGAAATAAAATTCACCAAAAGTATCACAAACTTAAGGCATAATATCATAGATCTCATAACATTAGGTCACTAGAAAGTAGAAACTAGCATGAGAATTACCTGACTACCCCCTTTAAAAACAGCTTCAAATATAACTCCAGTATAATAATCCAGACCTCTGGCAAGACTCAAGTCAAAAACCACCTTATCAATGCATTTTGATTTTTCCAGAACTTTAAATAAAATTTCCAGGTCATTCAATGCATCAAGAGATCCAGCATTTTCTAACAAAGCACTGCCCTCTTGTTTAAATTTAGATAATAATGCCAAAGGAGATCCTTTTTCTTTAACAAAAGTTTCAATTCTGTCTACCGTCTCAGCAGTTAATCCTTTCTCTTCAACCTACATCATGACAGTATAAAGCACATCACTAAATATAAAATCCTTACAGTATAAAAAAATTAATCAGACATACACGACACACCTAAAAACTAAGACAACAACAATGGAAAGTCTCAAAAGACCTAAGCCAATGTAATGGAATATACTTGTATAGTTGTACGGACATTTAAGTCATGAAATGCAATTTCTTTTTGGTTTTATGGAAAAATGTAAATGACGATCACAAACACAAACTATGCACACATATCTATCCAAACATACACGGTATGACACCTAGGAATTTAACTGCACTAGCACAAAAAGCAAATACCAAATACAAACAAGCACACAAAAAACACATCAAACACAAATCTAATTATCAAGTTAGGTCCTTAAATGATGAATATACGGAGACCAGATATTAAATCATGCAACACCTACAATACATATTCAATTAGGTCCCAGTACGCATGATTGATGAGATGTAAGTTAGCTTCTTATAAAAAAAACAGAAAAATGTTACTATACTATGCAAAAACAATATTACCAGTTTTGAAAGGCAAACACTCAGTAACCTTTTCTCTTCGTTTATTTTCTCCCTAAATTTTCTCAAATTCAATACAACAACGGTTATCAGTAACTGCTGAATAGAAAATGGATGCAAAGAAAATAACAGTTTTCCTACAATCCAGACATTGTTCAGAGATGAAGAAACCACAACAAAAAAGGTTTCTGTGCAATGAGGTAACCAGGCAGTGACAGGGTGTTTGCCTCCTCAAAAAATCATGCAACAAGATTTACCAAAAATGTAAAGGTAACAAATTGAATTCAGGTCCTAGACCAAAATTGTTTACCAACTAATAAAGCATAAATTATAAAAATATAAAAATGAATATAAAAAAATAAAGCCTACATCATTCTAAATGTCCAACAGAAGGAACAGTTTAAGCACAAAAAAGACTAGGCACACTCAATCATCCAATAAATAAACTTATAATGGAAATAGACACAAGGAGAAGCATATGTCCTCACCATTTCTTTTCTTATCTGTTGAAAAGGCTGTTTGTCTAACTTGTCAATGCTTGAACATATAGTCCTAAACTTTTCAGGTGGTACTCCACATATTTGCATCATGCCATCCAGTAACTTTCTATGATTCAACTTTATCTGTGGCAAAACATATTATAAGAAAAAGGTCACATACAAGCACACATATATTGTAATCTGAACACGTTATTGAATAGAATTTTTAGCACCGAGTACGAAAACCACAGTTAATTGCCAGTCACATCCAAATGAATGATATTAAAAGGTTAAACTATAGAACATAATTTGAGATGAGTACAACAGACCAAATTTAACAAAAAGCAAAGCAGCACAAAGACCACATCAGCCAACAAGTAATCTGATAATTGACAAAACAAAGACTTGATAACAAGGTTAAACTATAGCACATGAGTTGGGTTGAGTAAAACCAGTCTGATTTGACAAAAGCTTTGCAAACACCACATCAGCCAGCACATATAACAATCCTAGCCCAAATACATAGGCCTGTAATTTTATACTAATACATATTCTAAGAGTACCATTTGGAGTAAGTATGTATGATGGCAGTACATTGATATTTGATAACGACTCACCAAAATAAGTAATGACAGAGAATGAAATATGATGGTTGATGCCAATATCAAATTACGAAGTCAGTAGAGTTCTACAGTTCCAAAAAACAAATACTTTTAAAGAATGAATATTAAAAATATTTACCTCATATTCCCCAATGTCCAGCTCATCTAGCAGTTCAGTCAAAATTCTAACAACCTCAAAGTCTGGACCCATTTTTTCAGATGGACCAGCAATATCAAAGTCACATTGATAAAATTCACGGTATCTTCCCTTAGATGGGTTGTCTCTTCTGTAGACCTTAGCTATCTGGTACCTTTTTAAAGATGTCAAGCCATTCATAGCCATAAACCTAGCAAATGGAACTGTCAAGTCATACCTCAAAGAACAGAGCTCCCCACCCTGTCAAACAAGTTGATCACGAGTTAGTCTGAAAATATATACAACTCGATCCAGGGGTTTAAACAAAAGGGTGGTGGGGTGGGGTGGGGGGAACCAATCTGGCAGATAACCCTAATGGCAGTCTTTAGAAAAAGAAGTCTGGATTCAGGAAATAATCAGGAATAGCAGCAGGAAAAATTCTACCGAGAAAATATCCCTTTTTCTTAGGATTTTGAATACTGTAAGTTTATTCTCTCAAAATATCCTTACCAACAGAAAAGAAAAAGGTTTGGTCATAAATCAGCTCAACTAGTAAATAAATGAACAAGCAGTAAACATATGTACCTGGTCAGCAAGATCATAAATCAACTTTGAATCTTCTCCATATTTCCCCATGAGAGTTTCACGCAATTCGAAAACAGGAGTATCCAAGGCTGTGGCACCATGCCTCTCAAAAACTTCTTCTATTATTCGAAACGCTTTCTTTCTAATTGTCATTTGTTCTTTAGCAAAATCACGTGTCCCCTGATATGTTATATTGTGATACTCAAGGTAAGAATACCAAAACAAAACATCCCATCGATGAACAGAAATAAACATAAATCGATTCCATTATCTATAGACAACACCATTAAATGTCATACAAATAAAAGTAAACAAATGAATATTAGTTCAACAGTACACGCTGTAAGAACTCGATTACATATGATAAAAAGCAACACCTTATGCCAGGTGCCTTAGAGTACGATTTAATGTCTCAACCTGGAGTGGATTATAACTCCACAATGACCACTATCAAAATACAAATACACTATTGTCTACAGAAAATTGGAAAAGTTAAGCATAAGTTAATACGCCTGAGTAACACAAAGTCAATCATATCTGTTAACCATAAGTTGATAGAATTACCTTAGGAATCTTGGGTAATCTTCTGCTTTCATTGCTTTCTACAATATCCTTTACTTCCAATAAAAATTCATTAAATTCGGGTTCAGCCATGTCCAAAAATGAAAGAAACTCTCCCACCCATATCTCCAATAACCGTGAATTCTCAACAGCATTCTGTCTTTCCCTCTCTAACCTGTCCTTGATCAATAGCAAAATCGAACTAGTTCCTTTCCCCAAAACAACCTTTTTCTTCTTCTTTTCTACTTTTGAATTGTCTCCATTTCCCTGAACACCTTGGATCTTTTCATTCAGCTCAGCAGCCTCGAGTACCACAATTGCCGTCACAGCTTCCCATGCCACAACTTTCCACACAAGTGCCAACAGCACCTTGACTTCATGTGCAAACTTCTCATATTCCTTTCCAAAAACCAAGTTTAGAGCAGCTTTAAAACCACTGCTTAAACCAGCATCAGTTGGGCATTCCTTTCCAAAGATTTCACCAAGACTCAATTTCAGATCATTGCTAATACTACCTATGGACACCAAATTACTTTGGGCGCGAGCAAAACTACCCTCACCAAGTTCCCTCAGTGCTTCAGCCAACGGCAACAGCACCGTGCACACAGCTTGCTCACTCCCAGTCTCATTTTCCACCAATTTAAACCCTGAATTCAACTCAACCCGCATCTTAGAATGCACCGATTTCACTTGCTCCCTCATAGTTCCATGAACTTTGCGAATTCTCGTAACTGATCGAATCTTCTCCTTTCCAACCAACTTGGATCCGTTAAGCAGAACCCTCATATCACTGGCGACTCCAACTTCCTCCTTGGAGGTGTGTCCATCACCGGAATCCATCAAATTGAAGGCCGTTACATCGGCTTTCAACGCCTCACACGAAAACGCAGCCGCAACATCCGCAACCGCAGATAACGCCGTGGATTGATGGTCCAAAATGGCAGAAACCCCAAGCAATGCAGCACAAGAATTGTTCAGCACAAAAAGCTCGGCTTCAGTGACGTCGAATTCTTCGAATCGGAAACTCTGCGGCTTCGAATTGAGCGCTTCGGCAATCAGTTGGGGAATACGACCGGGGGAATTGCAGAGGAGGAGCCTGTTGAGAAGCACCACAAGGAAGGCCCTGGATTCCTCTAGGGTTAGAAAATCGGGGACGGCGATCTTATGCTTAAACGACGCCGTGGAGGAGAGCCTATCGAGCGCAGATGAATCGATCCGCACCTGAGAGCGGCCACTAGCAACGGCGTAGACGGAGGAGGAAGAGAGAGATGAAGCCTTGGCCCCAAGTGTTACAGCAGATACCTCGCCCTCACCCATGGCTCACGCTATGTGCGAAAACGTGACAAGTGAGTGAGGGTTTAACTTCAGTTCAGAGCTGAGAGCAAAGTTCCTCTGCCGCCGCTACGCCAACGCTATGTTTACTTTCTATTCATTCTTCTTCGGCAAAAAAATTTATTTAAGGATTTTTAATAAATTAATTACGTATTTATTATAATTTTAGAAATAATTACATATTTATTGCATAATAAGACACCTATTTTGAGCGTCACCACTGACGCCTAAATTGAGCATCATTCGAGAGACAATCACGCCTAAGTTTGGGCGTCACTCGTCAGGTGTTGACATATATCATATTTTTTTTTCAAAAAATAATAATTTAATCATAAAACTTCTGAAGGCCTAACTTTTGACTCGGGTATCCAAATCAAGTAATTATTTTTTTAATTCCACATAACTTTTCGAGATCTACTCAATGACATCTCATTTGACATATTTTATTTCTCACAAATACAATTTAAATTTACAAGAATGATATTAAAAGAGCAGTTAAACCCATAAACCTCTCAGTTCTGGGTTTATGATTTAATATATAAAATAAATAAAATTTTGATTTGTGATTTAAATTTTTTTTATAATAATTTTTTTTATTATAACAAAAATTTTGTTTGTGATTTAAATTAAAAAATAAAAATAAAAATTATTATTAATAAGGAAAACAAAATAAAGATTTGATTTGTGATTTAAACTAAAAATCAACTTGAAAAATCTGTAGAAATAAAGGAAGTAATTAAATAAATATTCTAAATCTCTAAGGAAGAAGGATATTATTTTTGAAATTAACGATTAATGTTATAAGTTTCTGGGTTATTATTCGTGGTCTGAAATTAATGTAGACTTATGAATATTTTTCAAAAATAAAATTATCTAAATTAGGCGTGATTGTCTCTTGATTGAAACCCAATTTAGACGTAATTGGTGACATGTCAGGTGTTGACACGTGTCACATTTTTAAAATCAGAAGCCTATGAGTTATGGGTTTGTTATTTAATATCAAGAATAAATCAAGATTTGATGTCTGATTTAAATTAAAAAAATAAAAAAAAATTGGTTTGTGATTTAAATTAAAAATAACAATTATTATTAATAAGGAAAACAAAATAAAGATTTGATTTGTGATTTAAACTAAAAAATCAATTTGAAAAATCTGTAGAAATAAAGGAAATAATTAAATAAATATTCTAAATCTCTAAAGAAGAAGGATATTATTTTTGAAATTAACGATTAATGAATGCTATAAGCTTCTGGGTTATTATTCGTGGTCTGAAATTAATGATGGCTTATGAATGTTTTTCAAAAATAAAATTACCTAAATTAGGTGTGATTGTCTCTTGATTGAAACTCAATTTAGACGTGGTTGGTGACGGGTCAAGTGTTGACATGTGTCACATTTTTAAACTCATAAACTCTGAGTTCTGGGTTTGTGATTTAATATCAAATCTTTATTTATTTTTTTTAATTTAAATCACAAATCAAATCTTTATTTAATTTTTTATATTAAATCACAAGCTCAGAACTCAGAGGCTTCTGGGTTTAACCGCTCTTTTAATATCATTCTTGCAAATTTAAATTATGTACGTGAGAAATAAAATATATCAAATAAGATGTCATTGCGTGGATCACGAAAAGTTATGTGGAATCAAAAAAAGAATTACCTGATTTGAATACCTGAGTCAAAAGTTATAGCCTTCAGAAGTTTTATGATTAAATTATTATTTTTTTAGAAAAAAAATATGACACGTGTCAACACCTGATGAGTGTCGCCCAAATTTAAGCGTGATTGCCTCTTGATTGACGCCCAAAATAGGCGTCTTATTGTGCAATAAATGTGTAATTAATTTTAAAACTATAATAAATACGTAATTAATTTATTAAAAAACATTAAATAATTTTTTTTTGCCATTCTTCTTCCCCTAATCTTTCATTTCTTACTCTTTTTTTCCTACAATAAAACTAAATTTTTGGAAATTTTAATTAAACTATGGATGTGAAGAAAAAAAAATTATATAATTAAAATAGTTTGTCTTTTTAAATGATACAACTTATATCATTTCTCTACCACGAAGAGTAGAACCCAACCTTTATATTTTTTAGTTCACACTCTCCTCCTTTATCTCATTTAAAATTGACACAATTTTACATCATTTAAAATCATATACATTTTTCCATAATGATAACTGAAAGTTAATTTATTCTATTTTTTATTTTATTTTTATAACCAAATAAAAGTTAATTTATTGCTACAATTAAGAGGTATTTCAAACAATTTTTATATTTTAATTATTTATCTACAAAAAAATTATAGATAATAAAGAAGAGTGGAATACATTTCTCATCATTCATGGAGGGATGTCACCGACAAAAGGTATAAATTAGGTAACTGACAACAATTTTATTCTTTTAGGGTCATGTAATGTTTTCTATTTTTAAAAAATTCAATAATATTTATATATATAGCTTTTTTTTATACAAAACTAATTTTAAACTCGTAATTATTTTTTTAAAAGAAATTTCAAATATATATAGAGGAGATATCTTTTCACTACGCTGTAAGACTTAAAAGTCTTACTTGTTATTTTAATTATTAACTTCCATCTATCTAACGTTTATAGTTTATTAACTATTTATTTCATATAAATAACAATTGTTCGATGGACGCATTCAAAAGATTTGTATCTCTTCTTCTCGAATGTATAAACTTGACATATTTGAATAATCTGTTATTTATTGACTTACATAGATTATATACTTACGATACTAATATTATCTCAATCATGCACTATGCAATATATTTTGATTGTATTTATAGTTAGATGTGCCGTTTATTGAACCTGAAATACCAGTATCACGAGCATTATATGTTTGTTTGATCATTTATTGGACAATAATGTATAATTTATTATTTTCATATTAAAATATTTAGAATTCATATTATTTTTTTAGCTATTTGCGTATGTTTATAATTTTTAATATAAATTATAGATTTACATGTAATCACCGGGTCATGCGGTTCAACCAGTGACCCACTGGTTCGAATGGGTCAAGGATCGCGCCGGTTTTAATAACATTGGTTTACACTATAATATATAGGGTTTGTTTTTTCTAAAGTTACTTTAGATAACTTTATCTAATGTTCATCGAAACGACGTCGTTTTGGGACGGAAATCATGGTGTTTTTATAATTTTAATTTATTTCAGGGTTATAATAGTCTTTATAATTCTAATTTTTTAATTTTTCAACCCCAAAACGACGTCGTTTCGATGAATATTAGACAAAGTTATCTAAAGTAACATTAGAAACTTTTTTCCCTAATGTATAATATGGGAGATGTTATACTTATTACTAAAAAGATTTAAAACTCTTATTACCAAACTAATCACCGTTGATTTTCGTTAATCTAACAATTTTAATTTATTGGGTACATTTATTAATTAATTATTAATTTTAAATAAATTATAATCATTAGATTGACAAAAATCAACCGTGATTAATTTAGTAGTAAGAATTGAAAAACTTTTCAGTAATAAGTATAATCGCACCCATATAATATGTGTGTGTGAGAGAGAAAAATGTGTCTTCTTTTAAAAGACACAAAGTTATATCATTTTATTTATTAAAAAAAAAAAGTTATATCATTTTATTTATTAAAAAGAATTATATCATTTTAAGAGAGATAAATATAAATCATAAGGGATAGTATATTTTTTTCCTCATTTTCCCTCCTGATCTATCTCAATCTCTCTCCTAGGGTGTGCATGACAATCATTCTATTCCCTAACAATGTTTCTGAAAAGAAACAATTCTTTTCTATTTCTGTGCCTTGGAACAGTTTCTGAGGAAAAAAAATGTGTTTGATAACATATTCTATTTTTATTCCGAGAATAAGAATTGTGTTTGATAACCCAACAAATAAAATAATAAAAAATAATTCCTATTAAATAAAAAAAAATTGGATCATCACTTTCCTTTCCATATGGTGTGTGGTTGTTGTGGTGGTGATGATGGCGGCGGGGGTACGGTAGTGGTGGTGGCAGTGACGTGGTGATGATAGAGGTGGTTGTGACGGCAGTGGCTGTGGCGACGACGGTGGTAATGGTGGTGGTGGAGGTGAAGGCAGTGGCTACGACAATGGTGATGGAGATGGTGGTTGGTGGCGTTGGTTGCAGCAACAATGGTAACGATGGCATGGTGGTGGTGGTGGTGGCAGTAGCTGCAGCGGTGGCAGTGGTGGCGGCGAGGGTGGTGTAATGGTGGCGATGGTGACAATAATGGCTATGGCGATGGTGATGACGATAGTGGTTGTGACAATGGTAGTGGTGGTTGGTGACAGTGGTAATGGTGGTAGCAATGGTGGTGGTGGCAGTGGCGTGGTGATGGCGAGGGTGGCGGTGACAGCAGTGGTTGCAATGATGGTGATAATGGTGGTGATGACAGTGACGGTGGTGGTGGTGGTGGTGGTGTAATGGTGGCGATGAGGACAATAATGGTTGTGACGATGGTGGTGGTGGTTGGTGGCAACGGCAACGGCAACAGCGGTGGTGGTGATGGTAGTGGTGGTTGGTGACAGTGGTGGTGGTAGTGGTGGCGTTATGTTGTAAGAAAAGTGATTGTGTAATGTTATAAAGATTCGTTTTACGGTAATTTTATTTTATATAATGTGAGCCCCACAAAATGTTGTGTGTGCAAAAAACTTTTTTGGGTCATGTGAAATGATAAATGCAAACCCCAAAAAATATATATATAAAAGAATGTAAGTGATAAAAAAAATAAAGCACATGAGGGATTTATGAATTTTTCCCCAAAAAAAAATTAATTTATCCAGGTGTAAACAAGTTGTTTTAACAGACAAACCGTGCAGTTGATGCAGACGATCCGATTGCTACTACAGCACTGAAAAATTAGTAAATCATGGATGCATGTTAATTTCGGTTCACATTCTGAGTTCAATGAGTTGTTTAATAATTGCACACAAGCCCATCTATCCAAATATGACAAACTTAAGACCCATTATGAAGCAAAATTCTATTCATCTAAACACATTTAAAATCCCTAGCAAATTGTCCCCTTTCTCTCAATAAACCAGGTAAGTTAAAAACGACTGTTTCACTCAACGAGGTTTAATAATTGCACCCCAGCCATCCATCCAAATATGAAGAAATTCAAGACCCAGCACGAGGCAAAATTCGATTCATCCAGAACACGTTCACAAAACCCGGCAAAATGGACTTTGTTTCTCTCAATAGCCCAAATATGTTAAAAAGGAATATTTCGGTATTGATGTGCAAAAACTTCTAAGATTTAGAAGAACACATGTGAAGTTACCAAGATAAAACAATAAACTTAGACAATCCAAAGCAAAATGTTGATACTATGGAATTAAGTCATGATAAACAAAGTGTCAAAACATTGATAGGCTATAGAGCAATTAAATGCGTAAATAACAAGCAAAATCTGATTGGCGTTGTGGTTTTTTCTTCAGACTCACTGCAAACAACAAATGTAGCCTCCCGAGAAGAGTCTCACTTGAGAGGAATGAACCTGGATGAGTGAGTAGCACCAATACCAGGTCTTCCATGCTTGACAGGCTTGTATGAAATTGAGAACTCAGCCAGGTAATGGCCAATCATCTCAGGTTTGATTTCAACCTGATTGAAAGTCTTGCCATTGTAAACTCCAATAATGCTCCCAATCATCTCTGGTACAATAATCATATTGCGGAGGTGGGTGCGGACTGGCTCTGGCTTCTCACCTTGTGGTGCTTCCCTTTTCTATGATCAAATAGAAAGGTTTATATTAGACACAAACATCAACTCCTAAAATAAAACCTCACAAGACGCAGCTAATGATAATCCATTCAAACATCATCAAAATATACTTTCCATCAAGTAAATAAAGAAATGGGCATAAATTAACATATATAACAATAATATTATTATCTATTAGAAAGCCAATAGCAATAAAATTAAACAATTTATTAAAGGTAGGTAATTTATCTATGCTGCAAACATGTCTAAAAAATTATAATTCCTATTGATCTGCAATTATAATCTAAAACAGGCCCTCTCATTATATGAAACAAGTAAAATTCCTCGAATGTATATGGCAATATACTAATAGAATAAGACACAAAATGCCGTATATAAGCAAATGGATATTGTGAAAAGCATAACAGAATGTTAATTGAACGAACATAAGACACAAATCAATCCTAGAACATGAATATAGGGGAAAAAGAGAAGAAAATAATTACCGCCTTGCGGAGCTTCTTAATCAAGGCCATGGGCTTTCGGGTGAGACCCCTCTGGAACCTTCTGCGAGCACGGGCACTGAAGAGCTTGACGAGTTCATCAGTGGACATGTCGAGAAGAGCGTCCAAATCGACGCCCCTGAAGCTGAACTTCTTGAATGTTCTCTTCTTCGGCACTCCTGCTGCAACATCTCCCTCAACATCTGCCTGCAAATTCAAACGCAAATACAAATGAACAATCACAAATTGATTGCAGAGAAAATCAATAGCAAGAGATGCATGCAAGTCACAGAACTCACCATCCTTGCCTGCCGCTAGGGTTTTCAAAAGAAGAAGAAGTAACTGTGTCAGATTTATTATACATGAGATGAGATCTTATGCTGTAACCCTAGAGTCATGTGAGCTGGGCTTAGGCTTCTACGTGGACTGGGCCTCAGCAACAGTTACTTTACATTTGTGAAATTGAAATTATTTTTGGTAAATGAAATTCAATTTTATTAAGACGAACATAAAACCTTGGTGGCTAAAATATAAATATCATTAAAAATATATTTCTTAACATATAGTAAAAACGCTCTGCTAGGGTTTTCCTTTTCATGGAGGAAAATATAGCTACTGAAGGCCAAACTTCAAAAGAAGAAGAAGATCTATTACGTAGGAGTAATAAGAGAAATAAAGATGGAGATATGGTGTTTACTGAATCACAGTCTAGGGTTCCTAGACATGAATCTTGGATGGTTGACGACGGTAATAAAAAGATGACTTGGCGAGAGATGCTCATGCAACGCAATGGTGAAACAGATGATTATTATGGTGGGATTAAAATGTGGACAGAGGAAGATGGTAGAACTCATTTTGGTTGTACTAGAAAAGCAAGAACAAGAATGCTGAAGGTTTGGGAAAAAGCTCTCATTGTAAAACTACTTGGAAGGAATACAGGAGTGGCTTTCATGAAAAAGAAGATTGAAATACTATGGGCTAGAGCTGGAAAGATTAACGTTACAGATGTAGGTAATGGATTCTATGTGGTGCAATTTAGCAACAAAGATGATCTTCTTTTTGCTCTAAATGGTGGTCCTTGGATTATTTTAGGCCATTATTTATCACTCCGACGTTGGGAGCCAGCTTTTAGACCAAATGCTGCAAGTGTGATGAAGATTGCAGCTTGGGTGCGATTACCGGGTATCCCACTGGAGTATTATGATGAAGCCTTTTTCCGCCGTATTGGTAACTGGCTAGGTAAAATGTTGAAGATCGATAAGACAACTAATGAGCATGTAAGAGGACAGTTTGCTCGAATTTGCGTGGAACTGGATCTTGCTCAGCCTTTGAAGGGTGAATATGTGTTGGACGGAGCAACTAAACAGATAGAATATGAAGGTTTAGGCCTTATTTGTTTCCATTGTGGGCGCTATGGACATAGTAAAGATTGTTGTCCTGAGATACCAGTTGAAGGAAAGGATAATCAGCAAAATCAAGACGGGAAAAAAGATGAGGCTGAGTTTCAGAAAAATGGATTAGGTCCTTGGATGGTGGTGCAACGTCAACGTCGATCAAAAATTCAAACTCCAATGGCGGACAACAGGAAGCAGGAACCGGTTCGAAGGGAATCAAGGCGTAATCAAGGGAGTAATCAAGGGAGTAATCAAGGGAGTAATCAAGGGAGTAATCAAGGGAATAATCAATGGAGTAATCAAGGGAGTAATCAACCGCAATCAAATCAGCCGGTTATGATTGATAATCAATCAAATTCCCGTTACGCTGCTTTAATGGGCTCTAATGAAGATGATATTACTCATGATATCCCAGCGACTAATCCGGATGCTGTTATAAATGACGTCAATATGGTGGGCCCTCCTGTTAATATTGATATTAGTACATCTCAAGGGTCCAAACACAGAAACCCTAGAAGCCGTCCTAATGTTGAATTACAGGAACACCCCAACCGATTTACGTTAAGTGGGATTACGACAGGTCATGAAAAAGAAAATCAAATAAATGGGAAGATAGTTGACAGAGGTACCTCAAACAATAATACAACGAACTTGAGGAGGCAAGTTGCGATTCATAATAGTAAGGACATTGGAGGTAAAAGCGGTGGAGATTCCATGGTGGCTAGGAGTACTGTTGCTGATTATAACAAAGATTGTTATCAAATGGAGGTGGATAAGGATGGTCAAAATATCAACGGCTTAGATCATGGCTTGTCCCAACCAAAAGCGCCTGATCCAAGTAGAGATAAAGGAAAGCATATCCCAATAAACCATAAGCTCAATATTGAGGTGGAGATGATTTCAGAATCTGAAACTCAGTGCAATGACAATGGGATGGCAGTGGACCCACAATCCTGCCAAATTACCATTGATTAATGTCTTTAGTTACATGGAATTGCCGCGGGGCGGCTAAAAAGTGCTTCAAATCAACGTTTCAAATGATGGTTCGAAGGCATAAGATTGAGGTGGCAGCTATTCTTGAACCTCGAGTAAGTGGTTCAAAAGCAAAACAGATAATAAAAAAGCTGGGTTTTAATAATTCAATAGTGGAGGATGCTCATGGATTTACGGGAGGTCTTTGGTTACTATGGAATAATGATAGGTGTCAGGTTCAAGCATTAAAACAGACCCATCAATTTATTCATGTTCGTGTTACATTGGCAGATCATCAAGCTTTTCATGATTTACTTCAGTTATCAGAAGATATCTCGGTTCCTTGGTTAATTGCAGGTGATTTTAATGAAATTGCCTTTCCAAGTGAGAAACGTGGTGGTGCTCCAGTTGATACTAGCAGATGTAATAAATTTGCTTCTCTTCTAACTGATATAAAGATGATTGATCTTGAAGGAATAGGTTCTAAATTTACATGGCGAGGACCAAGATTTATATCCATCATAAGAAGAACAGATTGATTGGTAGGCTTGAAGGTATCCAGAGGGCTATTTCTGAGCAGAATAAAAGCCATTTGGAAAAGATTGAAGGCAAGATAAGGGAACAAGTTTTAGAACAGGAGGAACTTTTGTGGTTTGAAAAGTCTCGTGCTACTTGGATAGCTCAAGGAGATAGGAATACAAAGTACTATCATACGAAAACAATTGTTAGACGTAGAAGGAGCAAGATCTTAGAGTTGAAAGATGATGCTGGAAACTTGATTAGAGAAGATCACAACATTGCACGGGTAATAAATGCTTACTTCTCTAAACTATTTTCTGAAGAAAACC